TTACATCCATATCAGTTACTACATGTGCAGCTACAATTCACATTTTGTTTCACTTTTCCACCCCAAACTGAAGGTGTTGTTAATGGACGAGGCCACGGCTGCCATAGACACGGAGACAGATAGTTTAATACAACAGACGATACGTGAGGCCTTCAAAGATTGCACTATGCTCATAATAGCTCATAGACTCAACACCATCTTGGATTGTGATAAAATCATGCTCATGGACAGCGGGGAGGTAAAGACTTAACTATTTCTATCTAACAAAATCCAGTAGCTGGTTTTGTATGATTTTGAAGGAATAAGCACAAGGTTGTCTACTGATTCATATATCACATCTCCACGAATTCAGCAAAATGTATTTTACATGCCCAATTTCTGTTGGTCACTGAAAACTAAATTTTCTCTTTCCGTGCATTTTTCATTCAGCCCAACTTCAATTAGACGTGCTATGGGACTCAGGGTGATTAATTTGAATATTTGGGATATTTTTCCCCCTAGATTGCTGAGTTTGACACACCAGATGTGCTGCAAGGTGATCCAAACTCTCTCTTTAGTGGTATGCTTGCTGCTGCGAAGCATAACAAAGGAAGTCTGGATGAATAAGAGTAGTTGGGATGCCTGAAGCTTCTGTCCAATTTCTCAAGAGAATAAAATCTCCAAGGAGAAAAACAGTCAGTGTTTTGTATTTGTTCAGCCTTGGCCATTACATCCTGAAGTCAAAACATACGATGTTGCTGAAGATATGTCTCCAAACTATAGAGTTTATGCCCAATTTTTCTTTCATAGTACCTATTAATGAATGTTTAGATCTAGTTCTTCTTAAAGGTTAACATTTTAGTATCTTTGTCTTAGAGTATTACCACTAGATATGTAAACTAAATCCAAGTTTATCTACCTTCAGCTAGTTGTGAATGTGGGGTTTGCTGTGGGAGGGGGGGTGCTCAGACCAGAAATCATCCCCCAAAAGAGTTCATGATGCTCAAATCTCCCTCAAGGTGTGCCGCAGTGAACTGGGATTTATGGTTATATGAGGGCTGAGCTTTGAAGCTTTTCATAGTATGTGTGGTTCTGAAAAGAAATGGAGGATACTTAACGTTTCGGACAGTATACTTTGTCCATCGTCAGGAAACTGTATATGAGAGCTACTAGTATCAGATGTTTTATATAATGTTGTTTTTCGATAAAAAAGAAGCCCGTCTCCCTGTGTACCACTGCCTTCAGGCTTTTGTGTGGTAGACCAAAATATGTGAACACTACAATCGTTTTCATGTCTTTGGTATTTATCTTATTAAATAGTAGAGGATCGTGTATTAGTGTGACGTACCCTAACGGCCATCAATTCTTCAACTTTCAGGGATGATACAATTATTTTTGTAAATTTTGCACAGTACCAATAGGTCATCATAAATATACTTTTCAAAATTAATCTCTGAATTTTGTTACTTTAAATTTAATTTTACCATATGCAGCAAAGTATTTGTGGTATCAGTTTGTAAATTTTCTGGGTCTCATGGTGTGGTGTCGCCATAGTGTAGTCAGTTTATGCAGTATAAGGATATCTTTTTTTTAAGTACTGGTATGTCTACCAAAAATGCTTTGTGCAGTTGTCAATGACAAATAAACACCACTCTAAACATCAACTGATAAACCATTAACACTAAGATGTGGCACATTAACCTAGATGTAACAAGTCCCTGTGCCTTACAATTATATCTTGATTTGTGGTTATGTTGACAAGTAGTTATCAGGTGTTAGTGTTGTCTCTGTCTTTATAGTTTATCTTATGCAAGATAATTTGAATAGCTATAATAGTGTTTTTACGAAATGCCCCTATGTAGGTGCCGTGGTCTTAGTGTGAAACTGTAATGGGGTCACAAGGGCATTAAAATGGCATTACTTTCCACCGACCTCACTGTAACTTTATATTTTTCTGCACTTGTCACATGACAGCAAACTGCCTGCCCGAGGGACTGTCAGATTAGCACAGGTCACAACACAATAAATGAAAGTCAAGGGCAAGTTTGTCTGGGGCACTTTTTACATCTTTATTTCTAATGAGCATGAGTTGCCAACAATAATTTCTGACTCGGCAACGACTGTGACCAAACTGGCATAATTTTATCCAAATTCCAACCGTACCATGAGGAATGTGTCCGGGACAAAGTCAATTATTTACAGTTACAAACAAGTTTAAAACAGAAACACATCAACAAATTCAGGATACAGTGCACATTAGGAGAACAATTTTCAGATACATGTTAAAACTGGAATAATTTAAAACAACATGTTGGACATAACAATCTATAAACCAACATTTAAAGGTACCCAAGCAATCTCCACACTTTTAAGGAAAGCTTAATGAAAATGAATTGCTAAAACAATATGTATTTACACAGTGTACCAAAAAGGAACAACAAATTCTGGTTCAATTGTTTTTTTCATATCTGGTGTTAAAATCAAAATGCGTGTCAATGCTTTCACCATTTACGTAATCACAGACATGAACAAGCAGTTTGAATACTAGAAATGGGATCAATTGGAGCCTTGGGAACTCTTTTAAAGGGCTGAAAATGCTTTGCAAAAGCACTTCAAGATTTATCAGATAATAAAATGTTGGGCATTTTACCATGACGTCTGACTTGACAAATTCTATTTACATTCTATGACTGGAAAACCAAGGTAAACAATTTAGCTTCTTGTACGCATGGCATAAACTTTAAATAAAATCAAAAAGTACTAAAAGAAAACGAATCAACAATTGATTAAACTGGTCTGCCTCATTCCCTGATTGGAGGAGACGGTCTTGTTTTTGATTGACGATGACTCATGATCAGAAAGTAGAGAAGCAACATCATCAGAATGGGCCCATCTGCATCTCTTCCTATAAGAAAAAATGATAAATGATGAAATAAAGCATCATTAATCTGATAAGAATACACAGAGTCAAAATTCAAAACACATCATAAATAATGTAAACATAAGTTCTAATAAATCAGAACTAAATCATTGAACAATTTATGTCAAACTTGTGAAACTGCAACTGTAAAATATAAGAACAGTTTAAAAGAATTTGTAAATGCAGCATACTCATTTTAAAGAGAAAAAAAACAATTTTTAAACTTTATTTTCAAATATCTGAACACTGCAAATTTTGGAACTGATTCTGTAAATTTATATATCAAAAGATGAAAGAAAATTCAAAAAATGAGGAAGAATGAAGCGTGCAAAGAACAAAGAACAGGCTGAGAAGAAAAACTGTAACAGGTAAACCCACACAATACTTCCCAAAACCTCTGATTTAAATGAGTTCTTCCTATACCCTGCCAGGTTAGGGTTAATAAACAACTGAAATTAGGTTGCAACTCTGCTAACACATGAGATCCTACAGACAATCTACAAACAAGATTTCCGAACAACCAACCAAAATCTATTATGCCCATAAACACAAGTAGCTGAGCACCCAAACACAAATTGTCAACTTCGAACTCTGAACTGTAACCTCATAACCTGTGACCTACAGAGGATTCATCTTGTATATCTGGAGGCTCTTCTTCAAACAGATCTGGCAGGATTACTTTTCTCCTCCGCCTGTTTGGGTTTTGACTCGCAGACTTTTTTCCCTTGTTTCCCTGCATTCTTATCCATTTTTTCGATGGTTGTCTAGTTTCTGGCTCATCTTCATCATCTTCAACTGATTTATCCATCACCCCCACAATTACTGGTGGTTTGTTCCGTGGTGGGGCATGTCTTATATTAACTTTCTTTTGATCTTGGACTAGGTTACTTTGCACGGGGGTGCTCTCAGCCCTAGTCTTCTGAACAGATGACAAGATATTCACAAAGTTAGCCTACCTCTCAAAATCTTCAATAAAAATGTAATAAGTTCGTATATTCTGGGTTCTAAAATGCCTCTCCACCTTGGAACAGACAAATGAACACAAACTAATCTACCTAGTTCTAGACATAAGCTACTGACTTTTCAAAATGAAGCATTATCTGGTAAGACAGCTGATAACTTTTCATGTCAGATTAGATACAGATTAGCAACAATATGCATCCGTGGGCATCACCAATGTGACGTAATTTCTGTCTCCATCTACTAACCACTCTTACAAAATGCAATGTTAGGACTTCAATGTCCACAGAAATGAGGTCCAGATGATCCGACTTAGACAAGTTACTTACAAGTACTTGCATGGCCTGTCCCTCTTGGAAATCATCCTCTTGATCTTCATCATCTTCTTCATCGTCTTCGTCTTCCTCCTCTTCCTCCTCTTCATCTTCATCTTCCTCTTCGACGTGATGATGATGAGGATGCCTGTTGAGTGAAACAACAAACCTACTGAAGTCTGTCAGATGAAGGCATCAAGACCAATGGAAATAGTACTAAATGTCTCAATTTTAGAACAAGTGGCATTTCCAAAGTTATGTTTACGCCATGTCAAGTTTGTAGAAATTTCTTGAGCCATTCTCATGATCAGCCTTATCTTTTGACACCCTCAATAAAAATTGTCCAAGACATAATCCTGTCGCTAAAATGAGGTTACTGTAATATGAAAAGATTTTTCCAAAGCAACTACTGACACTTAACTAAGTTAAAATTTCATGGGAAATTATGGTGTGCTCATAATAAGTAGACAAAAAAGAATGGCGTCATAAATTTCAAAAAAGAAATAGGACATGATTTGATATAATCAGTTGCGATACCCACCAACTCCCAAACCATAAAAGGAGTTTTAAAAAAATCAACAAAAACCAAAAATAGCACAGATGGTTGTAACACAAACAAATTAAATGACACTAATTAAAAGGTGAATGAAGTCTCCCAAGAAAGGTACACATAAATTATGAACACGTGTAAACAAGAAATACTTCAACAGGGAAAGGAATATAATGAGTACCTGTGTGTCCAATGACTGGCAAAACTACGGATGAAAAAAGAAATAATGAGATGTGCAAAAAGTAGGGTTGAAATAATCAGTTAGTTTGTGACGAGGTGGGAAAGGGTTAGGAACAATGAAGGATGGGTGAGACGATGGAACAAAAGGGGCAAAATCTCTGAAAACAAGCGCAGTGACAGGAACATTAACTCCCTTTGGGTTTTGTTATGGAACCCAGTGAAATTGAACAGGTGAAAGTGAGAGGTTTTTCTTCTGGATCTGAAGCACAATCTCAGTCAGCGTTGGTGCAGTGTTTGTGTTTTATGGAAATGAGTATGGTTAGGAATGCTGTTATGCTATATTCAGTTGGTCTGTACACCGACTCAAACGCAAAGGCAAGTTCGTCATTTATCCACATGTCTAACACTAACACTACCACATTGTAATCAAACAAGCTAACAAGGACCATTCCTGGGACATCAGTTCATTTCCAGCTTTAGAGTTAAAGTATCTGTTTGCCTATTAATGTTTGAATCAAATGGGACTGCATCAAAATTAATTGATTAATTAACAGAATTAAATTTTGTAAATGCGTCTCCCATCAAACTGGATTCTCGAGAATCAGAGACATGCAATTGGACATCCACAACTAAGAACTGATGTTTGGAGACAAATCTCGAGCCGTGTCCGAAACAGGCTTCCAGGTCTACGGCTAGGTCTATTGTCTCCGCACATTTCCAATGGAGGGAAGACCTAGACCTAGCTCTAGACAACAGATTCGGATGAAGTCTTAAGGTTTTAGAGATGACTACAATGGTTCCCCTTGATCAGAAGTGGCTACAAATCCTATCTTCAGGCAGACTTGAATTCTCAATTTTGATTGGTCGATCCATGGCAACAAACAGTGTGACTTATAAGTAGATTGCACGGTCTATGTCAAACCCCATGTAATGCGCTGTTTTAACTCAACGCACTATGCTATTTCCACATTATGCACATCTGCGTCACTATAAACTTAAAGTGGTCTGTTTGCCCATGCTGATCGTCACCTGTGTTTAAATGCACGTACAATTTTAACAATTTCCATTCTTAGCATAAGCCCTGTTGTTATTGCTACTGAAATAAGCTTAAACATAAACAATTCCAAAGCTCACAAGATAAAATTACAGAATTGTGGTACATCGGTGTTACTGTTTTTGCTGTGCGCATGTATGATACCTTTGGTCGTCTTCTTTTTTGATGTAAAGGGTGCAAAGGGCCCTTTACCATCTTCACTACACATCAAGTATGCTTGAAGATAAATTTGTTATCACGCTCACATTAATGGAACACAGGATAAAGTAGTGTGTCCGTGGCCCGTATATCACAAGGGACACAGATGGACTACATTATTCCGTGTTCCACTCACTCTCATGTGATAACTAATAAAAAAACTGTGAACATCAACAAAAAACACTTTTACAGAATTCGCAGTTGTTACTGAATTGACAATTTGTGATTCAGAAGTTAGCTTCAGAGTCAAAAGTGACCCAAGAAAAACAATTCCGAACTCAGAACTTTGAAGTGAAATTGAGTTTCTGGTGAGTTTCTTGGGCAGACTACCTGGCCCCCGATCTTGTGCGGAAGGCTACTCCTGAGTAACTCCGGGTGTTTCGGGCTCGTTTTTTGCTCTTGGATTGGCTGCGTAACCAGGACACTGTGGATGACTGGGAAACTGGTTCACCTCTGGCAGAATATTCATGTGGAAGGCTCATATCAATTTACACAAGAGCTAAAAACCACAGACCATGCCATCTTGACTAAGGCATATACCATAGAATAATCTGCCTCTCTACAAGCAACAAAGACGTCAGGATGTTTATGCAAAGATAAGAAAGACAATTATATATTTCATTTTAAACTCCCGAGATACTTCATCCATCTCGTGCATTCCTCGCACATTTTCTTTTTCATCAAGCATCTTTTAAAAAAGATTTTTACTCAAAAAAATTATCAGAGTACCAGTTATGTGGGAGTATCAGTGAACAGGGTAGCAACACTGTTTCAGACATCTGGAGGATTTTCAGGTTTATTATTAAAGTTAAATAAAACTGCGGAAAGTTACCTCCACAATGCATTAACAAGTTCCTACTTACTCAAAGTCACGCTCCGAGCCCTGTGTAGATGAGATTTCTTCTTCCATGCGAGGGCGCTTCATCATACCGTGATGCCCCACCATGTGATGTTGCTTGGACATCCAGTGACTCTCGTTTCCTTCTTCCGCTGCCCATAAGAAAAACAATTTCATGTCTTAGGAAGACAGTTTAAGTTCCCCTACTCAGTCTTTTCCTTACCATGAGACCCCTCTCAACTTGCTCTCTGTAAATTACAGTTCCCATTATTGAAATCCCTTACCCACCAATCCAACACTTGATCCAAGTTTCCTTAGACAGAACTGTTTATTACTTGACCCTTGCAAGTATAGTTTCCAATTCTAGCCCCTACCACCATCTCCATCCTCAAGGCCTCATCCCCTCTCACACCCATCAGCAATAAATGAACATTTCAAAGACTGGACTGTCTGTGCCTTACCCCCCTGCATAGCCAGTTTGCGTTTCATGCCTCCTTTGCGATGTTTCTTCATATGTTTGTGTGCTTTGCTGGTTTGTTCTCCTCCCGGTGCATCCTGTAGCAGACTGTTGCGGTATATGCGCAGTGGTCCCCATTCTGCCTCCTCCCTGGCTAACATGCCTTCCTTTAGGTTCTTCTCCAGGTACGTTAACCTGAGTCAAGTCCAAAGGCACAAGAACATTGTGATTGTCGTATTTACCTTTAACGTTATCAGGATTATCAAAGGCAAACTGTATGGATTCCATGAAATGCAAAGATAGTAACAGTTGGCATCCCAGAGGCATGTGAGTGGCCCCTTCCTTCAACTGATGCCTTCAAATCGTCATCGTATTCACTAAGAGACAAAGTCTCACCGGAGAGACAACTTTGTCTCTTCACGAAACAACAAAAATATGTTGTGGTTTAAGTTTGCCCTATGGAGATTATCGGAAGTTGGCTGATCTCAGCAGATTTGGTAAAAATGATTATACCATGCGGTAGGCATCACATTACCTAGTTGATTTTGCTAAAAAACGAAAAATTTGAAAAAATTGTGATTTGGGGCTATTTTGTCTCTTTGTGAAAATGGTGACGACATGGCACAGATTGAGTGAAACAAGACAAAGGACTCTGACGCCATCAGCTTGTAGTCTTGCATTTATCAAGGTCCGATAAGCTATTAGATACAGATTTGTCCACTTTGGCTTGGAAAAATAAGGTCAATAGTAAATATTTACAACAGAGGTCAGGGAGTAAGAACTTACACTGTCTTCTTGTCCATCTTCATGAGTTTAGTGGTGAACTCTGCCAGGATCTCCAGGTAACCAATGTTAGGTGGCGGACCCTCAGGGTTGTTAGTGTCTTCCATGGGGGTAAGGCTGAAGTGAATGCCCTCCCTAGGATGAAGAGAGACAAGGGTGAGTCAGGTGTTATCTTTAAAGAGGTGTGGCGATGTCAGAAGGTCAGCCCGAGTGGTATATGATATATGGTGAAGGCAGACTGCTTGCTAAGACTTACTTATGGAGTGCAGCCACAGCATCTCTCGTCTTGATCTGATCTAGGCCAAAGGTGAGTGAGAATCTCCGAGCTAGCTCTTTGATAGCAGTCAGCTGGGCAGATGTGCGACTCTCATCATACCCCTCCTCACTCTTCACATCTCGGAACAGCTGCAAGAACACAAACCAACAGAATCGAAGTTTAAGGAGGATTTGACTACTTTCAATTTCTTGGATTAAGATTTATCAACAGATGGTGTAAGCTGATTTTCAAATGCATTATATAAAGTGAATCTTCATACTACCTGCTCCATACTTGACCATTTATTTCAACCGATTCATGCAACATTCTAAGAGTTAACATACCTGTGTAAGACTGAGGCCCAAGGTTTGAGCACAGGCAATCTTGTTATTCTCTCTTGATTTGGCCAGGGTCATCTTGATGATGTCTCCATAGTCATTGTAATACTGCCAAAGATAGGACAGGAATTGTCCAATAAAATGGCTGCAACCTCCACACATCATGCACGTAATAACTCTCAATTGTCGTTTTAGTTTTGCTTAAGACTTGGGCAGTCTTTGATTCTTCTATTTGGAATTTTCTTATGACTTCCCTTTGCTCCATCTCACTTTAATTCTTCACTTCTTGGTTGCGACGACTTTATGCAAGGTAACATCTCAGACAGATGTCAAACTAAGGGATAAATTGTTCCTTTTTTTTACCTTCATGTAGTGTTTGAAGATGCCAGCAGCATTTCGCATCTCAATAACATTGAAGACGATGAGCTTACAGAAGGATGCAAGGAGATTGCGTCTCTTATGTAGGATCTCAATCTTGTGGGAATCGTCTCCTTCTTCATCATCGTCTAATGAAGACAACAAAAAAGCTAGATCCGTCAGAACTAAACTTGCACACTTCCAGCTAATGTCCTGGAAAACATATGATATACAACCAAGCACTGTAGGTCAAGAAATGAGGAGTTATCTCATGTCACTTGCAGCTGGGTAATTCTAGAAATTTGAGATCCAACTTGACTTTTTCTGTCATTGTTGCACCTGACCAGAGTAATTTGACATGGAATAATTGACTTCCAACTAGTTTTATTTAGTTGGCAGATCATTTGCATTACTTTAATCACTCGTGGAAATTAAAGAATGTGTTCTAAACGTAAAATATCAGAAATCTGATTTGAAAGGGATGTTAAATAAATGAGAGCCCAGATTTATGGAATGACCTCACTTCTTAATGTGTCCCATTCTTCGTGTATGAAAGTTATCGTTAATTGCCTCTCACCGTCCTCCTCTTCTTCGATGAACACATGCTCCTGGACAAAATCTGACAGCATGTTCTGCAGATTGGCGTTGGGATCATAGATGAGTGGTGCCAGGACAGCATTGGCAGCTATCTGCTTGCCAAAGACAATCAGGAGATCACAGATAGTAATGAAACCTTCTTCCCTGATACCATCACTGCCATCCAGGAGAAGTTTGGAGCAGGTGCGGACGATTTCGCTGGTACGCTTCCGTAATTTCAGCATATCAGCCTGGAGCATTGGAAAGTCAACAGGGTACTTACCAAAATGCTTATCGTTACAATTTATAAACTTATTTCAAAATCAACTCAGTGACTGCAAAAAGTCAGAAACATTGTCTTTTGTTAATCTTATCCAATACAAATATGTGATCAGAAGTATCTGAAGCATGTATATTTTTATCACAGACCATCAAAGTGTCCATGTATTTCTTTCAAGTGCCACTGAATAATGAACAGTGAAATGACTTCAGGTGGAAAGTGACTTTAGTAAGCAAAGGTGGGCATCTCTTATCTTTACCTTCTCAGGGTTGTGTTCGTTGAGTCTAGTCAGGTCCCAGAGCAGCGAGTAGTGGGTGCATGCAATGGCGTTGGTAAAGATTGACTCTGGCAGGTCTCCTCGTTCAGTGGACTTCTTGACAAGACCAAAAAGCATGTCAAAGAGTTGCCAGGGGGTCAAGTCATGACAGCTGTCAAATCCACACAAACAAGAAGAAACACGTCATATGAAATTTCAACTGTTTTCTTGAAGTCATTTTACCCCATCCTCCAGGTGCAGTAGAAATCCCAGAATCTCGCTGGGTTTGGCATGGCAAGGGTTAAACATTTTTTGGCAGAAACGATAAATACTACTTTGCAAGCTAAAAAAAATCCAAACAAGTTCTAAGAAAATGTGCTGTACAATGGTTCAAGGGAAACTTTTTTTCTTTGTATTATAAAGCTCAAATTGATTGTTCACAAGAAATGTGTTTCCTGAAAATGAGGGATCATCATAAAAACTACGTACACGAAAAAGGCAGTAATCCTCTTGATGCTTGAGGAAAGTGCGTATATCTCATCCTCGCTGGGCTGATTCATCTAAAAGAACAAGAAACAGACAGATAACGAAAACTAAGACAAACTTCCTACCATAATACCTTAGCTGGTTACCAAGGTACAAGAGCATCTTAACATGCATCTTTTAATTAGTTATCACAGACCTTTGCTGGTTAACCTTAACTGGTTAACCTTAACTGATTATCCTTAACTGGTTAACCTTAACTGATTATCCTTAACTGGTTAACCTTAACTGATTATCCTTAACTGGTTAACCTTAACTGGTTAACATGGTACGTCAGGTAGTAAAACAAGTACTTGACCTAGTCATATAATACTGTAGGTCAATTGCCCTGTACCAAAGTTGGATATAGTTTCAAGCAGCCATCAGTTTGTCATATACCACCTTGCTACTGTTTCAGTCACTACAATTTTTTTCCCGAGCAGTTTTTCAACTCATGGGTCAGTTTGAATAGCTGGATATGAATAAATCCTCACAGACAAAACATTCTTACGGTTTGGAACACATCATAGCTGAGACGGAAGCGCTCAGCGATGCTATCAAGAAGCGTGCTGCGAGCAACATCAACCTTGGGAGTAATGCTATACTGCTCTCGCATCAGGCATTCATAGGTCTTGGAACACGCATTCAGAACCTGCGTAGAAAACAACCAACTTTATAGGAGGATTTGAGGTAGGGCTTCTTTTCCTTACTTTTTAAAGATTTGACAACTTCAGTTTGAATCACATTAATGCATTCTCAAGGAACTGGGCAGAAGACCAAGTGAGTATACGCCCTGAGTTGAAGTGCACCCCCAAGCGGTAAAAGAAAGACAGGTGGTAGTAAGTTTTCCAAGCGGGTTCTTGCACGCGTTCTGCGTGTACGCAAAAACCATACATTAAGGAATAAATGTGTTACGCATACTCAGCGTGCTCCGCGTCAAACATGCTATTGTTCTCCATCATAAATGCGCACCTATGCGGTGAGTAGCAACAAACAGGTCCTCTTTTGTTCCGTTCGGAGCGAATAATCCCCAAATACGTATGGCACACAATAAGTAAACACGCAAGCAGCAAATGAGTACGAAACCATATAAAGTAACGACCAGAACCAATCACATACCCATGTAAAGTTGGGTGGCCAAGTTAGAATTTCAATGAATTGATTAGGAACTCATTGTTTGGTAGTTTTCCTTTACCTCACTTTCAGTATGTCTCTCTACAATCTCCTTCATCTCTCGTAACAGGGCATCCAGATGCTTCTCAAGACGGCTAGTGGTATAAATCTCAACCTCAAAATGCTGAGGAATCTCCAGCAGATTGGCAACCTTGTCCCAGTCCACCTTGTACTGTACACGCAAAAAATAATAGCTTCTGGTTACCAGACAAAATGGCTGACCTTGATACATGCATCTAATGGGAAAAGACTGTAGTCATTTACTCAGGTGATTAGTAAGAACTGACAGAATCCTGCTTCAACATTTCTTTTCAATGTTGATCTCAAATACAGATTACCCAAATCAAGGCACAAAATAAATGTAACCAACTTTGGACAGGAGCTCCGGCAGCTTGACAATGAAATGTTCGGTGAGTTTCATCCTGTCGTCTTGTACTGTCTTCTTCTCCTTACTTGTTAGCATCTGCTGCTAAAGTCACAAAGTTAAAAGTCACACGTAAATTACTGGGATCGCTATGATTTGTTCGTAGAGAACAACATGCCCTTGCAGGAATAGAATTTCAGAACCAAGATTTTAAAAGTGAAGTATAAGTTGCAAATCAAAAGAAGCACTAACATACATAAATTATATCACTCTTCAAGTGTTGAATTTCAGCTTGCAAAAAGAGTCAACTCTGGCATAAAATTCCTCCTTTTTTTCACCTGCAATTGCAAGGCTCAACATGAGTCAAGGAGGGACAAGTTGTAAAGATTGACACTGCAACTTTATTGGAATGCAGCTTTGAGGCATTCTAAATCCTTACCCTCTTGGCAGAACCACGACCGACTGGTGGATGACCCTGAGATGCTTGGCGGACAGCACTCACCATGATCTCAATCAATGCCGTCTCCTGGCGATCATCCAAAGCTATGGCAGGAATTAGAGAGATGTAATTACAGACTAGTCAATCAACTACAAGAATCTTGGACAGGATGTAAAACTGTTGACCAAACAAAGCAAATAATGAACAGACAAACAGACAGGTGCAAGGACTGACCTTCCTCTCCTCGTCCAGGTTCCTCCAGCAAGAGCTCAGTCATACAATCCCAATCTCTAACCATGTCGTTGATATCCCACAGAGAATCCACCAGGTAAGCTGCATGCTCATGGAGCTGGAGAAACAAGATTACTTTTAATCACCCAAACCCTTCAAAATCCAACAAGTTTGCATGATTTTGAAAGATCAAGGAAAGCAGAATTCAGTCATTATTACACATAGGACTTGGTGCTAACTGACAGAGAACTACACACAAAGAATGTGCCATTGTTTTCAAGCAGAAGATTCTGGAAGGTTTCAAACAAGGTTACTTGTCCCTTAAGAGAAGTAAACTAGGAAAAGTGAGATCGGCAAGTTTTGATATTTCCTAGTCCTATTATTTTCTTCTTTCCGAAGAACAAGGAAAGAGCTTGTGCAGAAGTGACAACACCAACCTCGCTTTCTATGAAGAACTGCACCAGATCCTTGATGAGCGGAGCGTTGGCACTACGTCGCTTGGTCCGTTTGGCCTTACTGCTTTCTGGGTCCTCTCTCTTGAATAGTCTCTCATTCAAGAACTCCCCAGCTGCCTGGGCAACAGAGCGGCTGGAGGCATAGACTAGCTGGTAGACATTCTCACAGTCTTCAGCAGAAAGGATCTCATCGTTGTATCTTGAAAGAAAAAGATAAATTTCTGATAAGCAAACATGTTTATGTGAAGTATGGTTAGTCAAATTTGTCTTTTCCAGTTAAACATTTGATAGCCTGACAAAGTTTTGAAAGGTGATCATGCTTAACACTGGCCTATTTCCCAGGGTCTCTGTCAACCTCAATGAAAATTCTGAGGCAAAAAAATGTTGGAGGACTCACTTCAGAATAAGTGTGGTGAGTTTGATGGCATGGACAGCAACCTCTGTCTCCTTGTCCAGTGTCATGGAAACGATGCGATCCTTGAAGCGATTAGTAAACAGCTCCAGTTTGGGAACAAGTTCTGTAATGCTAAAGAGAGTCTGCAGAGCAGCAAGACACTTCAGCCTAACGTCGCCAACCTAGGGGTAAAACAGTTGTATCAAGACAGGATTTGATACTAACATTCAGCAGTACTGATGAGATAAATCCCATAAAAATGAGATAAAAATGGTAACATTTCAAATACAATTCAACAAATGATCTTCCCTTGAAAGTCAACTAAAGCATCAGCAAACTGCCCTGTCCTTTGGATTTTTTGTCTCTTATTTGGAAAAGGGCTTCCTAGTGAAGGGTAGAACTTAAACAAGGGCATCTTGGTGAAAGGTGGAAAGTAAAAGTTGCAAACCTTGTCATGGAGTGTCCAGCCGATGTATTTGAGGTAACTGTCACTCAGGAACATCTCGCTGTAGTTTTTCATCCACAGGCCAATCTCTCCCATGCAGATGGAGCGGATTTCTGGTTGGGTATCACTAAAGGTCAAGAAGACACATCAATCCATTGTTAGGCACACGGCTTCATTTGGGATAAATCTGTCTTTCAGAACCTGAACTGCTAAACTCTGATTTCTTACCGGTAGCGGTGGACAAAGATCCCCTTGAAGATGTTATTCATCATCTGTTGGACCTCTTCGGTGTTTTCAATGATTTCCTGTCTCTTGGCCAAGAGCATCTCGATTCTCTCGCTAGCACGCTTGGATGTCTGTTTGGCACGCTCTGTGTCGTGCTGCCGTTGCGTGTTGTCTAAGTTGACACTCAGATTGAGGGCAACGTTAACAAGTGAGGTCATCAGCTTCATGGCTGCAAACAGGAAATGTTACAATATGCAAGGTTTAATCAAAATTCACAGTGAACGTATATAAAGTACTCTAAAATCAACAACTGGTATGAACATTGTTACACTTAATTGGTGGCTACAGAAAATCCAGTCTGATTTTCATGAAGTACCTGCTAGCGTGCTGGTGTGTCTGAAGGCTCGGACTTGGGAGTCACTCAGACCTGTCAGTAACGAGATGATGTTATCCATCATAAACTGATCATACAGGATACTGTACTGGCACTGACGGACCAAGACGGAGATAAAGTCGCAGAAATTCTGGCGGAATTTCTTGTAGAGGGGGCCGTTGATTATCAGTGGGTAATCACCACTCTCCTGTTAAGAGAAAATGCAACAGGTGGTATACAGATAAGATAATAAGTCATAAGCATCGAACATCAGCCAAAATTAGACTAGTTTTACAGTAGTTTTGAATTTTGGGGAACATAGGTTTGCTGAAAAATGTCATAAGACATGTTAGAAAGATGGTTGAATTATGTCAATTTTTTTTCATGTTTAACTGCACAAGTTTACAAAAAAGTTTTTAGGGATCAGATTGGACCAAACACGAATCTGACATCCAACCTCATCAAATTCTTCGGTCATGCGTCTGATGATGTCACTATGCTCCATGTTGGAATACATCTCCAAGGTAACGGTGCCCTTGCATCCTGAGCATTGAATGAAGAAGTTGATGAGATCCAAGAGGGCAGTGTCTCGGTTGGATTTGTAGCCTTCGATCCACTCATCGACAACAGTCTACGTATTAGAAACAAAATAAGTTCTAAAATGGCGAATTTATGAAATACATCAGGACATATACACACCCTAACCCTATCCTTGCCAGGCGCAGCACAGATAATCAGGTGGAAAAGTCTGATGCATGTTGATGCACTTGGCAATCAACAGCAGCCTAACAAACTGGCCAGGTTCAGACAATTGGAGCTAGTCCCACTGAACAATGCCACTGTTGGATCTTGTGGTGACTGGCAACCACAGACTCCTAGGCTGTTTGGCCTTGGGGAGAGTTAACCTGTTGGATCTTGTTACATTGGGCAGGCAAGCCACTTTGACAAATGATGCAGTCCGATGCATCTGAGAGGGTTTCTAGCCAAGTACCCTTGGAGGGTTAGGATTAACGAGATTGTTGTGACATTTTTATAAAGTATCACATTATCTTTCAATAAAAATTGCGTCATCGTCTCAAAATCTATAAGGCAATCATTTCAAAATTCCCATCAGTTGACTATAAGACTGGGCCATCCAACCGGTAAATAAATAATAACAATGACTTTTGTTGAGTGCATAATGGAGGGGGTGTTGCTCCACTGAAACCACATAGCCTTGGGAGTAATGCAATGTGAAGGCATTTATCAGTTAGAATTGGCCTCTTGAGAACACTTCACCTGATAGCCAACTGGTCATAAATGTATCGGTCAGACCGTTCTGTCCGACACCTACCTGATAAGAATTTTGAAATGGTGCCTAAATGGTGCAACAGCACCAAAATGTGCAGGAAGGTTTTAATTTGCTATTCACTGCACATTTTTTAATATTAGCTAACAGCACTTTGATGATACAGAGCAAAACTACACACAACAACCACCACTTTATGGCAGTGAGACATTAGCATGCAAAGGCAAACTTGGTGTTGGACACCAATGATGGGTTGAACCAACCTGGAGGGCCCCTTTGCCTTGTCTGACAATCTCAAACAGTGTGACTGGCTCACCGACCATCTCCATCTCCGATTCCGTCCGATGTTTACTCTTATGCTTCTTACTTTTCTTTCCAATCTGAAAATAAAACAAACATTGTCACTGACATCTTTACATCAATTTCTCATAGATACAGTATCACCTTTTTCAAATGGTTGATAAACTCAAATCCTACATCAATCTTGCTTTCTTTTTTTATAAAGTCACCCCCCCCCAAAAAAGTATCATCAAACGTGGGGTAGGGTATCTTTCATACAACTAACCCCATCATGTTTGGGTCTTCTTTTCCCCCGACCATCTTCAAAGTCACTGTCATCCGAGTGGTCAGCTCTGAAAGAAAAAAGTCACAAATTATATCAATAAGGCCTAGCCTATGTTTGTTTTTAAGATTTCACGGGGTTCTGGTGAAACAACGTCACTTTCTGTAACATATGTATACTTCACTTACTGTGTGATGTCCATAACGTAAAAATAATTTGTCTCTTCTGATTCTTCCGCAGCACGGCCTCAGCTGGGTTTAGGGCCTAGGCCTACCTGCCTACACAAGAATGCCAGCTAATTCAGGCACCTGGTATCAACCTGCAAAGATAATCAATTAGCCTAGCACATGAATCCAACCCAAATATGCTAAAAAATCTCTGTGCAAAGTCACATCAGTGGACTGTGCTTGTGACCCTGATTAGGCCTGAAGAATTTGGCCCATCGGCTCTGGGGAAAAAGTCTGCATTGTCTGCCTATATGGTCATACTCATCGGCGTTCAGACACGCCAGACGATAATGAACGTAGACGTCTAGACCGAATATAAACAGCAATCTTGGTCAGAAATTTGAAGAGAAATCAAAACCTCAACACATAACTGAGGAACTCATTGTTCATTTCTGATCAATTACCCAACACTCTGTCATATTCCTGCCTTAAACTTTAAATTTAAGTACAAAAATGATATATTTACCTCCTGCTTTGGTTTTCGCGGGAAGACAAAAAAGTTCGCGAAAATTTTTGGTAAAAAATTAAACACTGGTAAGCGACAAAATCATATAGAATTCCTAAGGGTGGTTGGTTACCAATGAAATTTTACGAGCGCCCTCTTGTGATAATAAAAACGTGGATCGACGCCTCGCGGATACAGTTGGTACTCTGTCGGTTTGGTTGTGCGCTGACTGAAGGGATTGTGGGTTGATGATAACCAGTGTATTCTAATCGACCATTTCTGTAAAGTGGTGAAAATGGCGGAGAAACTTCCTTGGGGAATGCGAAATGAGGGCATAGCGCCTGGGTCCATGAAGGTATGCCACATTTGGGGGGAAATTTTGATAAAGCTGGCTATTCTCTGTAATTTGGACTGATTTGGAGAATGTTTATTGAATTGTAACAGAAATATTGAAGATGTAAAAGCCGTTTGATGAGTATCACTATTCATTAGAATCGCCCCCAAACCTGTGGATTTTCCATCTGTACTGAACATGCCACTTCGCCCCATTAATAACTGCTCATGAATTCCATGTATGCCTAGGCCCCCTACATGTACCTTGGTCCTTGCCCTTAATTTAAGTTAATGTCCGTGCCTGACACTGCATGAACTTTGAATATTCTTTGAACTTTGAATAGAGCTATGTTTCACTGAAAAAAAACAGCATGAATGTAGGCCTAGTTTTTTAGAAATTATGCCACTTTGTTACTGTTAGTTGTCCACATCATCACATGACATAGACCTACTAGTCACTGCTAGTCGAGGTGAACACCCTGACTGTACTACATTATGGGTGCAAAATCAGGCGAAAAATTTTGGAACTGATATTTTCAACACTTCTACCTTTCCAAGGAGCCAATTTCACTCCACAGCTGGTGGGATAAGAAGTGCAACTCGTCACCAAAGAAAGTCAGACATAACGTTAATTCTTGCCATTGTTGTGGACTGTTTTCAGCCGTTCTCCAGTGCAGTTCGTAAAGTGCGCGCAAGCAACTGTTCCGCGTACGAGATACCGAGCTGCGTACACGCACATCGAAGCTACATGTTGACTGGAACCAGCGAAACTGAAGGCTGATTCATATTTGCTGCATTTACACACTCATAGCACGTAATGTGAATGCCGCATTTGATGTTCATACTTTCATGTTAAACACATCAAAGAGAGATCGTCAATGAACTTATTCCTGTACTTATTCCTGTAAAGGGTTAATTGGTCAGTCTGAAGCCCCTGACCCAACAAAAAAGGGAACTTTCTTTTAACATATTGGCAGGCAGGTTAAAGCCAGGTACCAGTCACGGCCTCTGTGTAGCAGGCTTGCGACAGACCTTCACTGGAAATTGCGCACGTGTAGTGCGTGCACGCAGCTCGGATTCCTGTACATGCGTACACTTTAAAACTCGAGAACTGATGAATTACGTCTACAAATGTAACATTGCCTCACGCTTATTTTCCTCGATTTTGTAGTCCATGGTCCGTTCTTAAATTCCTAAACCCCCCAGACGAATAGATAAGGCCACAAAGAACTTGTAAACTAGTAAATTAGTTTTTTCAACTAGGTAAACCAAGATCAAATTAGAACCAATTTTGTGGTTGTTTTGTACACAACTTTTATACCCTGGACGTCAGTCGTAATGAAATGAAGACAACATCCAACCTGGGCTAGTTGTCCACAGTGCCTAGGCTAGGCCATGTAAGCCTAGGCCTATTTTCATTTGAATATTTTGGAGTCATGATTAAGTCATCAAACATTGTCAAAACTTAACAACTTACAAGATTTTAACAATATCAGTAATCTCATCATCCTGTGTGATGTGTGAATTTAATATCTTCCTCAGACCATTTCCCAAAACAAACTAAAGGCTTTCAGCGTTGGACAGATGAATCTTGGGAAGAAACTGTCCAAAAGAGCAGAGGAAGAGCAGAAGAAAAAGGTAACCTCTGTGTTTTTGCTGTATGGAAATGCACAAATGTGTTGTAACAAAGAAGCGAGATGTAACGCCAGTGTTTTTGAAATAAGCAAGTTAGGTAGTAGTCAGATTACCGTGATTACCACTGTTAAATCCATTTTTTCAAAATGCCGAAGTTAATTCTCGTATTTAATATGAATTTTGTTAAACAGATCCAATTAATCCTGGTTTTAATTCAGTATTCTCTTTTGTTTTGATTATATGAATTTTGAAACAAGGTATCTGTTTTACTGTTTGTCTTCCCTTAATTTCATTGTCAGGCGCAAGAGAAAGAGGCAGCCAAGGTGTTTGAAGAGTTTGTAGCTTCATTTGAAGATACATCCAACCTCGGCAAAACATTTGTGCGAGGATCGACAATAAATCCAGAAACAAAAGGTATGTGAACCTAAAAGTTCACTTCACAAAATAACACAAGCTCCCACAGAATCCACTTGCTGATAACTGCCAAATCAATATCCATAGCTGTTTCCCATAGATTTGTGTGTTACACTCAGCCAAAGCCAAGTGATTGTGATATGGCTTAGGATATCCTTGGATAAGCAGGTTTCCTTAATTTTTTACTTTGTGTAATTACCAAATCACTTTTACTTTTACACTCAATACCCTAATAAACTATTTTTAAATGTATCATTTGGCTCCCTCCTTAGTTGGATTTCAAGATGAAAAAAGCATTGATACTTGGTTTATTCCAGAGGAAAGATCTGACCATCAGGCTGGCAAGTTATACAAACCCTCATCCAAGATCTCTGAGTCTGTACTTACTCGTCGGCAGAAAGAGAAGGAAGCCGCAGAAGCCAGGGCAGAAAAAGAAAGAGTGGAGAAGACAGTAAGTTACAAGTTGTGAGCACGTCGTCACTGAGTTGCATTCAAGCCATCAAAGTTGCTTCATTGAAAAGAAAAGCAAGGGTATTATTTGAATGTTGTTTTTGTTTTTTGTCAGGATTTTTCAAAGAAGAAGAAGGAAAAGGAGAAATCAAAAAGTAACTTGGAACTTTTCAAGGAGGAACTCAAAGTGTAAGCCATAAATTGTTCAATAATTTAGATTTGTATGCTTTTGGTCCATTTTTATCTACAGAGCAATAAGAAAAGGGTAAAAAAAAGGAGTTTATTTGAGTTTTAAAGATTAATATACATGCATTACTAGAAAAAGCTCTAGGGTTCCGCCAGATCCAGTCAGCCTCAGTGTGAGTTTCCCTTCACTTTACAGATTACAGCAAGCAAGAGAGGAACGTCATCGTATGAAAAGAGAAAAGGGACATCATGATATCGACAGCCAGCGAGAATCATCACACTCATCCTCATCTGACGTTCGAGTTCCAGGTGCTTTAAGAGAAGTTTGAAAAGACTTACAGTTGCTTATTAAATCTTAAATAGGGTGGGCATTTCATGGATTACAATGCTCAGCCATGGGACTGTTAGTTTAAGAAGTCTTTGCCAGGAAGAATTTTCTGGGACTGCGATTTATGAAACCAAACTGACAATATATCTTTAAACAAATTCATGAATAGCATAGGAGCATCTTGGCTTGGAGTGACAGAGGAGTTCATTTGTTGCCGTTCTTATCAATTACTTGGCTCATCCCTGGTACATTTCATTCTCTTGCAGTTGGTATGGAAGATTATTCATACGGTTCTCATGATTATGGAGACCCAACTACAACTAACATCTTCTTGGGTAGCATCAACCCAAAGGTATGGACATAGAATGATTGTGCATATTTTAAATAGCAGGTGGCCCTTACTTGTTTTTGGAATCTGATCAGGTTAAGAGGTTATGTTACCGTAGTACAAAACCACTAACCAATAAGCCTGTTCGACTGGTCGACAGAGAGCCAAAATTGAAATTGATCAAACTAACAAAGGAAAATTCGCTATAGCATAAACATAACATGGTAACCTTTTTCAAACACTCGGTTATCAGGATATGCAGCATGTGTGGACAAACTGGAGAACAATTCAAATTTTCAAGTTTAAATTACCCTTTTTACGTTCAGAAATGTAACGTACACATACAATTTTCACCCCATTTTCTCCCAAATGTCACTTTTGATTAACGAGAAACACATCACAAAATGAAATCTGAAGTCTGATTATATTTCTCTGGTATAAATTTAGCAAACGTTTACACAGTGTGGAAGATCTCCGCAGACAGATTTTGGTGTCGTCATTTCCTGGCTGGCGTCGCCATTTTAACAAGCTAAAGAAAGTGACCTCGACTTTGCCGAATTTTAGCGCATGCACACAAACTAAGTTGATGGGGTGAACATACATGATGATATGACATATGATAATTTAATGTCCACAATTTCCATGTTGAAATTTGCTTTCCACCAGCATATAAGAGTTCTAAATGTAGAAATAATGAATAGGCCTATTCTTCGGGTTTTTTTGGGTTTTTTTTATGTGGCTCTAGAGACATGATGGTTTCAGTCGTGTTTATTTCATGAATGGAAAATGACGTCATCGCGATAATGTCGGGTATCGCGATATTTTTTCATGATATTGCGATATGAAAAGAAATGAATATCGAACAGGCTTACTAACCTGTAAATAAGCAAGCCTGAAGTACCTGAGAAAATCAGAGCCCAAATAACTTGGCTTTGGCTTGAAAGTTACACATTAGTATATGGTAGTAGCTGCAGCCACTTCCCATAGAGTTGTGTAATATCAAGCCATAGCCAAATCATTTGGGCATAGACTTTAATGCTTTTCAATAGTACTAGCAAAAGGGGGATACCTACTACTTGTATATTTTTCCTTACAATGGCACAGATGGATGAAGAGATGTTGTGTGATGAGTTTGGTAAGTATGGTCCACTGGCCAGCGTCAAGATAATGTGGCCACGGACAGATGAGGAAAGAAGCCGCAACCGAAACTGTGGCTTTGTGGCCTTCATGACACGTAAGGATGCAGAGAGAGCCATCAAAGCCTTAAATGGTGAGCACTGGCGTGTATGGTTTTGTGTTGCTAACATTTTGAACGTCACGTTAATGCTGAAGACAGAGTGAAAATAACACTACAGGGCTGTAGATAATGACACCAAGAAATGGTAAGTAAGGCCAGACGGTTCACTTGTAGTATGTGTACAGTATTTCCGAGGTTGAAGGTTTAAATCAAATGTAGTCAATTTCTGTCAAAAGGGAGAAAAACGAAATTTCAACCGTATTGAAATAAAGCAAGACTATGCAAGAACACAGCAGTACTATTTTGTCATTTTGAGTTGTGAAATTTGCCTTTTAGGTGTGGAGATGATGAACTACGAGATGAAGCTTGGTTGGGGTAAGGCAGTGCCAATCCCGCCCAATCCTGTCTACATTCCTAAGGCTATGCTGGATCTGACCATGCCCCCGCCCCCCTCTGGCCTGCCCTTCAATGCTCAGAACAAGGACAAGAAGACCAGAGTGCCTCAGCCCAGCCAGCTCAGTACGGAAGAGGACCCAGAGCTTTTGAAGGTATTTCAATATTGGACTATCGTTCATTACAACTTTTCCATGGAGTTTACCGTACAGAGAAGATGAGACTTTAATTGGTTGGAGTTGAAGCAGGTTTGAAATAGTATTAACGGGATCACACACTTAAATTTCATGTGAAAGTCAGAGAAACATTATTTTTCCATATTTTCATATCGGTAAATTAAGAGATGAAAAGCTTTGTAAAATTCATGTTTTCCTCGCTGTTGAAGTGAATTTATTAAAGAATTTTCGACACGACAGACATGTTGAATTCTTATAGAGGTTGCTTTTACTTCTTTTCCTGTGCATATTTTTTATAAAGTGAAATCGTTAAAAGGTAGTACAGGCTCTTTTCCTCACTACATTTCATTCTTTACGTGCTTAAATATATTTCAAGTTTAAGTTAAGTCCGTTTACTGGTTGCCTATATCCATCAACATGATTCAAAACAACAAATTGGGGTGACTTTAAGATTCTTAGAAGCAGTTAGAAGTATAAACCTGATTCCAAAGGAAAAAATGAATCAAATATTTTGAAATTCACATTTTTTAAAAAGGACAATGGAAGTAATGTTTAACTGTACCTTTTTCTTCATGAAGCGTACACGTAAATCACATGCAAAATGTACTTCTGCTGTTAAAAAAAAGTTACCCCATTTTGCTCACAATTTTTCTCAAACATTTTGTACACATTCAAAATTGACAGTCAAACATTCTCAAGAGTAAACTTGCATTTTGATCTTTGTGTGAATCCATTGACTGACATTTTCGTCTTCTTGTTCTGGCCTGTTAACCTGTTCCTTCACCAGACCTTAAAAGACGCAGTTGTAAAAGTGGTAATCCCGACCGAAAGGTACCCGGCCAAATCCGTTTTTCTCTCGCTTTTTTGCTAGGACTTTTTTCCTTTTCCTTGTTTTGAAATCTGTATCTACAGCCCTTGTCTTGTGTTTGGCTGTTTGGCAACCTTCATCATATGGCCTTTAAAAAAAAAAATCAAGCATTCACATGTTTTGAAGAAGGGCAGGAGCTGCATAAGATGGTTTTCCAAACGGAGCGATTGTTTATAGAAACTAGTAATGTGGTCTGGCTGCTTTTGAAAAGAAAATACCACTGATTTGATTGCAGATCAAGTTTAACAATAGCATTAGCATAATTATTAGAAGGTTAGCAGTTAAGCCAGTTAACTCAGCTGAGTAATTGTTGAAGACTTCAGTTCTTCTCTGGAAATCTGTTTGAATTGAAATAGCAATTCACTTTACATGATAGAGGGTTCCTTGTTTTTGTTTTCGTTTTTTTTGCGTGATCTTTCTTATTATTCCAAAAGCCCTACAGAATGCTTCGAGACAGGCAAATCTCAGTTTAAGTCACTGTACAAATTTTCCGTCATTAATTTGGGGAGAACACAAACCCCCGTGTTCTTAATTTTCCTTGAGATTAAAAGATTTTGTTTCAAGCTCAAAATAAAAATCATGACTTGGAGAAAGTATAATCTCTTTGTTAGGTTGTTTTTCCTCAATAAAATCAAACTATCGGCACAGAAATAGTGAATGTAGAACTCAAGGTTGCCAAACAGCCGCAAAGCAATGGCTGTAGTGTTGCCAAAATTAAAAACACAACTATTCTCCCATCGACACACCGGGGCATCGACTCAAAAACAGGTACGTAGAGCAGTTAGATAAGATTTAGCCTGGAGTAATCACTGTCAAACTCTCAGTTTTGACCTTGTTATGGTAGGAGGTAGTTATCATTGCTTTTAAGTTCAACTCTTACTTCTACATCTGTGATGTGAAATCACTTGGCATGAATTTGGGATGGTCTACGGATGTTTTGTTGATGATAGAGTAATTTTTCCTTGTAGAAATCTCTAGATGTCTCATATTACTACACTGGTGGGTTGATAGCAGGAATGCAAATAGCATTATGCTTTCCAAAAGATTTAAAATAGCTATAATTAGGCTACATGATTTTTTGCATTTGATAATGTCCGCATGTGGCTTATAATCAAATATATTTCTTCATATTTTTAATACTGAATCCTGGGTTTTGTTATATTAAAAAAACATCTGAAAATTGACATTACCAAAACCCAGAAATTTTCTCAGTAAAGAGTTCTAGGCTTTGATTTATAATTCATGAGTAGTCAAAATAAGTGATGACAAAGACAAATTTATTCTTTTTTACAAATGAAATATACTTAGGACTTTAACTGATTCTTGAAAGCACTTTACCTAGCCATATTCCAGAGATTCTGAGCTTAACTACCATTGTGTAGATTACATGTTAATTCAGATTCTGAATTCATTAAACATAGATGAAATTTGATGAAATTTATCCGTTGGACTGTTGAATGTATACAGTGAGTATATGCGGTTGAGAACCAACTGTACAACCAAGCCTTGTTAGCCACTCGCATTCCTAGCTACTTCTTTTTTGCCAGCTTATAGTTTTGTAGTTTGGTCACTCTAAACAGGGAAAACAAAGCTTTCTTATTTTGTTTCCAGAACTCAAACGTACAGGGATCAATGCAGTTATTAATTACGTACATGGAAATATGTGTGCAGTTAGTAGTAGGCAAGAGGTAATATATGTTGTAAGATCAAGGTTTTATGAATATGAAGACAAGTTGCAACACCAATGAACCTCAGTTTGCCAAGCTCTCTATTAATCAGAGTAATATCTATTTAGAGTGAATGACTTCTATCGAGCCTTGTAAGTCTTCAAAAGGAACAGAACTGTTGTACTGTAAAACCTGTTGAATATCTCTAACGCCATCATTGTCTTCTTATATACTCCAGTCCATTAATTTAAAACAGTACACAGTTAAAGGTGCCCTTTGATGGCAGGCAGCTTTGGCATTTTGAAAGTTCCTTCAGTCTCAAAACAGGCCAACTAACTGTCACATGTTGAGGGCTTATACACAAGCTGCTGTGGGCAGCCAAGTGATGAAAGTATGAAAACTGCTACTGTGTGAGGGCACTCAGGAACCTTTTTTCTGTGTCCTGCAATAGGGTATCATTTTGTATCCACACTGCTGTGTGATTTTTTTCAACTGAGAGTACCCTCGTTTACACTTGTAATCAGGTCACACAGCACCCTCAACCATTTGTGAACAAACCTGATACATATAGGTCAGAGGTCTCCATTTTGAAAGTAATGTACTAGGTATCATCTTTACTCAAATTTGCAAGAATTTGTTCTACTTGACTTTGCCCCCTCCCTGCTTAAAGAGGTATCGTGTCACCTTACTACCTGCATATCAAAATCACAAAACTTAACATCACACGTGTGCTCAGGTTTGGTCAATTTTATATCAATGTTTTCAGCATTTTACAGCAACTTAATTGGGTGACTAAGTTTCTAAAACTGCTGGAAATGACTTGCTGACTTACATGCCGTGAAATTGGAGAGTTTATGGAGTGTGCATTGTATTCTTATTACAACAGACTAATACAAAACTTCCAGTCAGACAAATATACGCACATTGAAAATGGCACCTAAACATTACTCTTTACTTTGCATTACCACACCCTGGGAAGATTTTTTTACCAGAAACACACACATGAAGTCATTGCACCATTTCTCATCAAACAGTATCCCGTTGTTAGCCTAGGGTTTTTTAGGACGTAGGGACACATGGGGAAACCAAACCATTTTTTTCCCTGTCACAGGCCTCTATTGTTGGCTATTCACCGGATGATCGAGTTTGTCGTCCGAGAAGGTCCCATGTTTGAAGCGATGATCATGAACATGGAAATGGAGAATCCTCTCTACAGGTAAGAAGGATCCATACCACCTCCTCATTAACCCCAAATCTACAATCCCAGTCTGTAATAGACTCTCACTGAATGAAGTGGCTATGTCTCAGAGTAATACATGGGACTATGTCAAGTGGCTATGTCAAGCATGTGCTTTGTCTAGCCACAGCCAGAACCTTTGGACGCATCCTCTATTGTGATGGATTGAGGTCTGCTCTGCTAGTTACTATTTCTAGATATGTGAGGCTTGATGTTTCTGCTTTGTTTCATTGCAAAAAATGCATTGGCAAGCCATTTCAAAGTCCTCATGAATATTCAATTAAGCAGCAGAAGAGTTATTACTGGTACTGAGTTGCTTACATTTCACACTCTGCTTGCATTTCTAGATTCCTCTTTGAAAACCAATCTCCATCTCACATCTACTACCGCTGGAAACTCTATTCCATCCTTCAGGTGAGTTTGAGATACAGTCAACTCCAGCTAAATCGGCGCCCTCGGCACCCAAATATTTTTGACAACTTATGCAAGGCCGACTTCTACTGTAAGTCGTCATTTTGCTGACTTGCATGAAATGATGACCCATGTTTACATGTACGTAAATGTATGATATGTGATTGGGTTGCAACGCTCACCATAGTCCGAGTCTAGTCTGAGTATGGAGGAAGGAAAAGCCACGATGAAAACTTGTAATATGGTTTGCAATGCTCCAAAGTTTTGACACTGGGATTGGATTTTATGAAGCGTAGCAGTCCATGAGTGCGAAGAGAGGTCATGCCTACATGTACATGGACCAGTAAATGCTGAATTTGCCCGCTGACAGCCCAACAGAAATTTCTATTCCATTGTACTGCTGAAAATATGTGCAAAAAACCTTGAAAGCGGAAAATACCTACACATAGAGGGGAGTATTTCAGAAGTTTTTGATCGCTTCATGTTTTCAGAGTGTCAAAGTTCGGAATGTACTTCGGGCATCACTGGCTCCCGACCATTCCATTTCGTTCTTGCTGTTTTTGCAGTAGGAACCAGTAGGGACATATTTTGAAACTTGATGCTTCACTGTGAAGTGTTTTTGGATGTACTGAAGTATCAGACTTGTGCTGTTTCAGTTATTGTCTTGAATACATTTGAAATGATTTTTTCTTTCTTTTGTCTTGGTAGGGAGATTCCATTGGTAAATGGAGGACAGACGATTTCCGTATGTTCAAGAATGGTTCAATATGGCGTCCTCCTCCCATCAACCCATACACCCAAGGCATGCCCGAAGAGCTTGCTCCCAAACCAGAACCTGCCAAGAAGGGAACCTTAACAGACAGGTAGTTATCTCAAGAAATATATATATGTGTGCCCCTGTTTCCAAGGAGCATTTCCTCCGTTATGAAACTCATTGGTATATCACTACTCGCATGACAAGTTTGCTGGTTGTCTCATTTTGCTGAAAGAAATCTGTCACTTGAGCAGATTTTGTGTTTAGAGGTCTTCAAAGTTTTTAAAGTTGCAACATTAGTAGACACCCGTGACATTTTCCACCCGCATAATGTTCATTTATTCAGACTGATGAGTCAAAGTGGAGAACACAGTGTGCTCTTTTATAAACTGAACATCATCAAGACATAATCTGTGGAATCGGGGCACATCTCAAAGATAAGTTACTGCTGCCCTCTCTGATGTTTTGTAAACTAACCTGATGTCTGGTTGTCTTGTGTCCATTAGTCAAAGGGACAGGTTAGAAGACATGCTGCGGGGTTTAACCCTGGAAAGATCCAAGATTGCCGATGCCATGGTGTTTTGTCTTGATCACGCCGAATCAGCCGAGGAGATCGTTGAGTGTATCTCAGAATCACTGTCCATCTTGGAGACACCTATCCATAAAAAGGTAAGAGTAATCTTCTGAAACTGTCCAAAACCAAAGTTGAAAAATCTGCACTTCCAGTTTTCAAGATATTGCTACTTAAATTCAAAACGGACTTTCAAATCAAACTTGATTACTGCTAGAAACTGCTTTTCCATGATCTGATTTGTTACTCCTTCAATTACCTCTGACTCTTTGACCTTGCCTTAGCTTGGTAGACTCTTCCTAGTCTCAGACATCCTGTTCAACACCAATGCCAAAGTGGCTAACGCCTCCTACTTCCGCAAGTACTTTGAGGTCAAACTGCCCATGATCAGTGTCAATCTGAGGGAGGTCCACGTCAAGATACAGCAGAGACTCAAAGCAGAACAGTTCAAGGTAACTCCAGTTTCAGCTTAGGCTCATCATTCTCAATTGTTGCCAAATATCCGTGATCTTTTGTAGATTCAGAGCTATTTGCATTTTTCAGAGACTGGAAAAAACGTTGGCTTGTAAACTCACAATATTCCTAGCAGATGGTTTTTGTGCTGAAAGGTTGGTGTAGAATTTTGTTTCAGCTTCTGATCCCAGACGGGTGATCAGAATTTTACAGTCAGCCAAGTCATGGCATTCGGCCAGAATTCTTTTCCCTGCATCCACATGGACTCAGCCGCTGCTTTTCATGGTATAAGGCAGTGATTTTGTTTTTCGGTCCCTGTTATCCATGCAGCAAAAAGTGATGGCTTGTTTCCGAGCCTGGGATGATTGGACCATCTACCAGAATGACCTGTTGGTGCGGCTACAGAATCTCTTCCTAGGTCTGATGCCTCTGAATAAATGTGATGGTGAAGAAGAGGTGAGGATGGCTGAATGGTTGAACAAAAGAGGCTGCAAAAATTGCAAACCTTGAATGTGACCCTGTCCAACAAAAATGCTGTAGAAAGTCACCAGAGCTGCTTTTATAATTGAAGGCACTTGAGCTGATCATCAACTCAGTCACTTTCTTAATATCCCTGTTTATTTGTATTTTCACAAGGACTGGTAAAATTCAGAGGATTCAAAAGGCCCTTGACCAAAATGCCTAAGAACCAAAGATTTGTAGGGGTAGCGCTGAGTAGTTTGAGCTTGAAGCAGAAACCTGGCTTCACCCAGTTGTAGCAGTCTTATGTGTGTTTGTTTTTTTGCCCCCCCCCAAGGATTTGCCTCAGCTGGGCATTGCAGTTGACATCCTACCACAAGAAACCTCTGAACTTGAATCAGCAGACTTAGATGGTGCCCCCTTAAGGTTCAACGAAAATGTGGATGGGGAACCTCTAAACGAAAGCAGCAGTAGCAGGGTGCCTGATCTTGATGGGATACCTTTAAAGGAGGACGAAGGCGGAGACTTGGACGGAATGCCCTTGGAAGAGGCAGAGGATTATGATGGTGTTCCTCGTAAGTCTATACAGCAGAGACATGGACTGTTTTAACAAAATGTACTTTTGGTCCAGTTCATCTTGTATTGAGCTTCACCATTTTCATACGACAACTCCCAAGTACAAGACCAATATGCAATTTTTTTTGGGGGGATGGGCGTTATTCCTAAAAAAAAACACAAGCTCTTGTGGCAAATTCCTGATCAAGAGATAATATGTACACTTATTTGATTGCTGCTTAGTTAAAGATGACATCGATCTGGATGGCACACCTATAGCAGAGCCACCCAAGGAGAAGAAACCATCTGGAGGATTCAAGGTTGCTCCTTCTAAGTGGGAGACGGTGGATGCATCTGTCTTAGAGGCTCAGGCAATGACATCCTCCAAGTGGGAGTGGCTCGAGAAGGAAGAGGAGGAACAGACAGGCAAAGAAAAGGCGGAAGATCAAGAAAGGTAAAACATTTTGTTGACCGTCTCTATCCCTTCCTTGTTGAGTGTTAGTCACAATTTTTACCTACCCATCCAACTGCAAAGGCTGGCTGAAATCTTTGTGGAGTATTCAGCTTGGAGTCAATGTTTGATCCTCATCCAATTTCCGCAGAGGTCAAGAGGAGGAAGAGATGGAAGGAGATTGGCAGGAAGAGAGTCCAGACAGAGATACATCATCTCAAGACATTCAGCTCAAGACCACCGAGATGACCGAGGAAAGGAGAGCCAAGCTCCGGGAAATAGAGGTACCTTATTCATTCTTTACCTTGCACAACAGAAGTTCAGTTCAGTTCTTTCCTGGCCTTTTCATCCCCTTCATCCTCGTCTATTTCTTCAGCTGATTATGTTAATTTTTCTCTAACATTTATCTAGATTTTGAACATTATTATAGCATTGTCAGAATTTGTAGAAATCATTTTATTATTTTGGTTCTAAGTGTGTATTTCAAATGAACGCAATCATAGCTTCTTTTTCACGAATGAATATTTGTCGAGGTTCTGAGTAGAAATTTTTGTTGAGTAAATAGTTGAAGTGGTAAATATTGCACAGCAAATTTGCGAGAATACTGCCTGGCAAATTTATTTACTATAATAGTGCCTGGCAAATTTTTATTTGACAAAGCTTTAATAAGCTGAGAACCACTCACAAGCTACGTCCATTAAGGAATTCATCTGGTGAATTAGCATCAACTCCCTAAACTTCTGCCTGTGAGTTACCCCACCACCTGATGAAGTCCAAAAAGTTTGATCTTGAATGAAAATTAAATTCTCCAACCTGCTATGTTCTCCTAGGTGAAGGTGATGAAGTTCCAGGATGATCTTGAGGCAGGAAGACGAAGTCGAAAGCACGGTCTGTCTATCCAAGAGCAAGTAGCCAAGTACAGGGCTAAGCTACTCCAAAAGGTTGGTACAATCCAAATACATTACTATCTAACTGTTTCTTATTCTGAGCTTATTGGTATAAGTATGATCTCTCCACATGGCGAAATATATTTTTTTGTAATTTGGATGTATGTTTTTCCGTGTCATGTAGGAGCAGGATAAGGAGCTTGAGAAGCAGAGAGAACGAGAGAAGGAACGACAGCGAGAGAAGAAACTGGAACGAGTTCGTGAGTTTGAGCGAGCCCGTGAACGTGAGCGAGAACGACTCAGCCGCGTGTCAGATGATTCTGGAGATGAAACTCCATCCTCATCATCGCGTCGTGAGCGTAAACGTCGGCATAGTCGCTCAGCAAGCCCCAAACGTACTAGGTCCCCGTCGCGGTCTCCGGTGTCTGAGGGCAGACGGTCCAGCCACATGGACCGCTCCCCTCTCTCCATCATCAGGGATTACTCTGACTCACCAACCCACAAGTCCCGATCAGGGTCCCCCAAAAGATCTTCCTCTCGGCGTCGTTCGCGTTCGCCAAGGAGAACTCACCGATCGCGCTCACGATCGCCTCGGCGATCACGCAGATCAAGATCAAAATCAGGGTCACCGTACAGGTCGCGTAGGTCAAGGTCACGCTCCCCCAGCAGGCATTCAAGCTCGTCTCACAAGAAGAGAAGAAGATGAAAATCGAGTTCTTTTGTACATAAATTGTTGCTTTCTTTTGTAGAAAATTGACGTCATCATTGCATTCTTGTAAATTCGATTACATCATTCATAATTCTGCATTTAATTTTTCCCCCAGTTGTTCACATCAGTGACTCAAAGCCAACATCTTGGGCTTTTTGTTGCACATCCAGTTTTACACACTCTGTTTAAAATAGGGTTCCCACCGTCATCGAATATCCTGGAAAACATGTTGTCTTGTGAGGGAAAAGTCAGGAAAATCAAGATCATGCAAAGGTTATTTTGATTGGCCACTTTTAACGTGATTAGGGAACGTTAGAGGTGTTTTGTGCTATCCTATAGAAAAAGGTAGTGGCTGTGACAGTCTTCCAGTTCATTTAAAACAACTTTTCTCTTTAAAATGGCATTAAATGTCATGGAAATTGTCGCATGTGAGTCATGGAAAGTCTTTGAAATGTTGTAGAATCTGGTTTTCAGATTTCTGTGGGAAGCCTGTAAAAATAAGACCTTCGGCAAACGTACTAAATACCAAGCACATTATGTTTTAACATCAGAATTACAGTAATTGTGTATTCACTGAAAATATCAGTACATGTATAATGAAATTGCTATGAACATAATCATAGAAACTTATCAACTGTGTTAGACTTTTGCCAGTCGAAATCTCGGTGAAAGTCATTTTGTTCATAAGTCAAAATCTGAAACCTACCAACTGTCATAAAACTCATCATTGTCAGTACACCGGACATGGCTGATATATCCATTTCTTTGCAATTAAGAAAATTTTGACTTTTTCATACGATACAGTGGTCCTTCTAAAAACAAGTTTTGGTTTCAATTCCTCGTCCTGTTTTTCCCGCGAGATGTTCAACAACAGTTGCTAAACTTGAATTACTTTTTATGTTTGGTAGCTGCAACAATACACAATTTTTACAAGAATATAAAATTCATTTCCCTCGTGTCTAATGGTGGAAAGAGCATTTTATAGCAAAAAAAACCTTGGCGTTGTCTGTTGCTTGACGACTTTAATACCCATGTCACAGTCCTGGACGTGAATCTGGTTTCTGTTACTTGAATGATAAAACCTGGAGTGTTGAAGCCAGCATCAAGGTCTGGGATTTGTTAAAAGGGACATTAGCCTGGCGCCAACTTTAGAGTTCATTTATGGTCTGAGAACTATACACTTGTCCTTTTCATGGGGAGACCAAAGTACATGTACACGTAGTTTACAGTAGTTTGTAGTGTAATCTGGCTCCATTTGTGGTCCCCCACCCTAACCCCTTTGTGTTTCTGTCTCCCCTAGTCATTTGCCTATCTGTTTTCTCTTTGTTTCTCTGTAAATGGTCAGTCTGGCTTCCTGTTGGTCTTTTCGCAAGGCCTTTGTTCTCATTAAAAAAAAGACCAACAAACCCTTTGAAACACACAACACAAGAAATCTGTTGATTAGTTCAACTTTCTGTTACCATGGTGATTTACTCTTGCGTTATGTATGACTTCAGAAATGACGTTTTGTTATCAAATTGATCGGTAGTAATGTAGGCCTGTATCATCCTATTATGGAACTTTGGGGCATGTCAAACGCTTTATATTTTGCCCGTTCCTTTTATAACTTGTTTTTCGTTGCCAATATTAAAATCTGGTCTCAAATTTGAAATGTGGCTTTTCATTGTTAATTTCATAATTTATGTGTGAACTGTGTGGTAAATCGTGCGTGATTCCTCTTTTTCTGAAAAAACCACGTATCCAGAATGTTGTCAATGTCTACTTTTGGTGCGTTCAACTTTATAATACCCCTTTGAACTTAACAACTGCAGACCCGCCTTTTAATTGAACAAAGGGAGGTCGGTGCAGTTTCTTGGACCACTTCCTGAAACCATTTTTCCTTGTCCTGCCAAATGAGGTTGTTTTTCCTGTGGTAATGAGGTGTTGCTTAGACAACTTTTTATCTGTTTTTCTTTTTTTTTTTTATTAAGCTACGTTTTCTTGGCGGGGGAGGGAAACCTGTAGTTGGTTGGGTGAAGTCCAGCAGAAATCTCTGTGATTCACTACATTATGGAGCTGTAAATGTACGTGGTTTGCTGGCTGTTGCGTTCATAGATAGTTAGATATCCATGGAAGAGGGACTGCTCTCCCTCAACTACTTCGAGACACTGGCGGGAGATCTGACTCCACAAATGAATGGCTGCAATGTACCGCTGCCTTGACTATTCCTGTGACATGCTTACGTGGAACAAGACAAATACTACCAAACATCTATCTTTGCTCTACACAACGTCCTAGGGGTTTATTTCTGTTAAGTTAAAGCAAACTTGGACCATCATAATTTGGCCAAGCTAACTTACCTGTATCGTTAACCTTGGTCTCAAATTCCCAGAATTAGACGAAACTGTCGGGAAGAGTGTCGTCTACAACGTGTATCAGGTTCAATTGTTTAATTTCGGGACTGTCTTAGCCAAACCCCTCGTTCCACGTGCCAATTTGGCGTGAAATCTGTCCCCCTTGTAGAACCGTTCAGCGCGACAAGCGACACACAGTTCTTCCCTCGTAGCTCCGGCCATCGAAAACAAGCTCAAATCGAGCCAGACGGACGCGCTTTAGGGGCCAGACGAGATGGCCAGCCCGGGAGGGGGAAATCTGTACCGGGAGGTCGTCGAAGATGGTCAGATCCGAGTTGACAACTCCCAGTCGTCTTTTGGCTCGCTGTCTCAGGTAAGTGAAACACACAAAGGTGAGATACTTATGAAGCAAGACATCACCATATTGGGAGCATGTGGCCTAGTAGTTAGGGTTTTCATCTTCTGATCATAGGGTCGGGGGTTCGAATCCAGCTGATGGCGGCATGTTGCAATCTTGGGTGAGTCACTGTACCCTATGTGCCTCTCCACTCAGGAGTAAATGGGGTACCCATGAGGGCAGATTTGGTTATGTTAGCTGTGTACGCCTGATAAGGCAGCATCCGCTAGTATACTCCCCAGGGAGCTGAGATGGTTTCAGGAATGTTCAGTTGTTGTGCGCACAGTGTGTAGGGATGATGATAATGCAGCGCCTTGAACATCAGTTGTGATGGATATGTGTCCTATCTAAATATCCATTATTATTATTACCACTTACAGCAGAAAGTAACCAATACCAACGTTCTTCAACGCGGCGCCTGATGCATCTGAGGATTATATTTATTACCTTCAAATTTAATGAAAATCCCACGTGACGCGAGGATTGTAGTACCTTGCCAGATTCTACTGACTTCGTGTCTTCTCCGAAATAATCTGGAGTTTGCTTGAACTTATTTCTTTTAGTTTTCTGCACTTTAATATAAACGGTAAAAAAAAACAAATAAGAAACAAAAACCTCTGAAGAGAAAGGCTTCCATGTGTGCAGGTTGATGACACAGTCAGAGATCTTCTTCTTCATCCGAATGAGATTGGGCGTTGCCGAGAGAACCCGCTGACTGAGAAGGGGAAACGAATCCAGCTAGCCAAGATGTTACTTCTCATCATCATACCTATAGTCTCCTTGGCTGTGCTCGCTGGTATCGACCTCCACGGTATCGCCTTGGGCAATCGGCTCAATGTCGAGGTAATAACTTTAGACTGATCCGACCGAAGTTTCCAACTACTCAAATTATTGATAAATCATTCCAATCAATTACCTGGCAATCTGACCACTCAACTAAAATGTGTGTGTCTTTCATTTAATTTTGGATTTTTGCCCCGCCCGACGTAATATTGTAACACTGCATACTCAGTGTTTCCCCCCATGACAAAAGCTTGTGAAAAACCATAAGCGTGCTCGGGGTGGGACTCGAACCCACGACTTCCTGCATACTGGTGCAGACTTAATAACCACGCGACCACCGAGCTTGCCGGTGCCGGATGGCTGGTTCGCGTCAGATGTAGTAGCGGGTACCGCGAAAAACTAGTATCTGAGGATGGATTTGCGTTATAGGGAGATGTAATAATTAATTTAATTTTGGATTTTTCTGTGTATCTTCACAAGGATATAAAAGAGGTTGGGGCATGACACTAACAAACAACCTATTCAAGTTGCAGTTTGCAGACACTTCCATAGACAAAGCTGTTTCTAACAAGAAAACGGTCCTGGATCACAAAATCACATTTATTAAGACTTTGTTTCATAACTTCTTGTCTGTAGGTGCGGAATGTTATCCGCTTTAGCAGAGACATTGGTGTATTGTTGAGCTGTCTTCAACGAGAGCGAGACATGGTGGCTCTCTTCGTCAGCGCCATCAGCCCCGACCAAGATTCTTTCGTGACAGCCACTTTCCCTCAGACAGACGAAGCCTTGGATGAACTCAAGGACTGGCCGGTCGAGACCTATGTTGTCAAAGAGCTCCCCTACTTCCGCCACAAGGAAGACTTCAAGGAATACCTAGCCCACCATCGCCGCAATCTCCATCGCTCCAACACCACGGTGTATGACGAAATCGATTTCTATACCGACATTCTGCAGATCTTCATCGATTGGCTCTACGATAGCATTGGCAATTCTAACGGGCATGGTCTGTGGCAGACCTTAGTGTCTTATCAACTCCTCATCGTCAGCAACGTGGACATCGGCATTGCACGGACTCTAGGCTCCATCTTCTTCGCCCGGGGTAAATTCTACAGCTTCGACGACTATGTCTGGTATCTCAGCAAAAATGACGTGGGAACCTGGAACTTCGAAGCCTCTAAGAGGTACTCACCTCTTATCAACAGCTTCTACAAAGACCTGGTCACCACTATGGATGAAAACTTCGTCACCACTATTACAAACCTGCGACAAGAGATCTTAGACCACGCTGTGGATGGGTTGCAACCCAACTTCGAGGCGGCCACTCTGTGGTTTGACAGCATGACGGTCTACATCAACATCCTTGAGAGTATGCAGAGCAAGATGGCGGACGAGATCCTTCTGAGACTAGAGAGTGACCTGGACAACGACACGAGCTCCATTGCTGTCAGCATCTGCTTGGTTGTCATCGTCATCATCACCTGTCCCGTCATCCTAAGAGCTTTTTGGTCCCTCACCACTGACATTCAGAACTACGCTCTCAATCTGGCCTCTCAGACCAAAGCTCTGAATAAGCAGAGGAAGAAATCCAACTGGCTTCTCTACTCCTTACTGCCCAAGTCTCTGGCTGCGGATTTGATGATGAAAAAGCCGGCTGCTCCATCTCACTTTGATGAAGCTACTGTGATGTTCTGTGACCTAGAAGGGCTGGGTTACATCTGCTCTCAAAGCAGTCCAAATGAGGTCAGATAACGTTAATTTTAGTAATTCTAAAGTTGGTTAACTTTCCCTGCTGATTTTTTACATCCTTTTTCAAGAAATTTACCTTTTTTTACCTCCAGGTGGTAGAAATGATGAACGGCCTGTACCTCGTTTTCGACTCCTGTATCGACCAATATGACGTGCACAGCGTTGAGACGCTGAGCGGCACATTTCTGTTAGCTTCAGGTATGACGCATGTACATTCCTACGTAGTAACTAACATTTTCTTCCTTCGTAATAAAAATTATAGCTTGGTTGTTTAGCTAAGTCATCGTTTATTTTCACTTGTCCGAAGTATGATGTTCCTTTGTTGGTTACTAAACAAATCACAGGTGTTCCCAATCATAACGGCACTAAGCACGTGAGTGAGATAAGTGGTCTAGCCCTTGACATTGTTCATCACATCAGTCTTCTGGAGGTACCGCACAAACCCTTCTGGGGTTTCAAAGTTCGCATCGGCTTCCATACAGGTAAAGGCGTCTTTCTATATGCTTGTTTTCATTTTGCCTCGACTCCTATGCGCAAATAAGCCGCAGAAAGTGTTCTTTTAGCGGAACTAAAGAGGGCGTTTGGTTTGGTTTGGTTTGTTTCGGGTTTGGTTTTGGTACTAGGCGCGCGTTTATAATGGAGATCACTGGGGCGTTTGACGTGGAGCTCGCTGCGTACGCGTAACGAATTCATTTTAATGGTCTGTGCGTACACGCAGAACGCGTGCAAGAACCCGCATGGAAATCATACAATTACCTTTCAGTCTTTTGCCGCTTGGGGGTGCACTTCAACTCGGAGCGGATAGCTCAACCAAGAACGACCCCCCCCCCCAAAAAAAGACGTTTGAGGTCATGAACTTCAAATGATCGTAAACAAAACCAAACAAAAACGCCCTGCATGTAATGTCTGGCAATCATTGTAAATATTAATTATCTCTGTAAACCAAATATTTTGTCACCAATACCATGAACTGACACACATCTTCACTTTTGTGCCATTCGTGAAAACCGTGATTAGAACAGTTTTGGTTTCACGAAGTGACGCAAATGTGTGCGCGCGCATATTTTACACTCGTGCATTATCGAACAATTTCGTTTTCACCAAGAAACACAAATGTGTGTTTTGTCAATATAGCATAGAAAAAAGCTTTAAATGTCTAAAGTGATTCTATTTTACCCCTAAATGGGTGACTAAACTGAAAAAAAAATCTTAAAACTCGTAACTGTGTAAATTAAGGAGAACGTCAATTTCTGCATACGGCAAGTCATGGAGCACGTGACGAAAGACATTCGTGCCTCTTCGTGAAAACGAAAATACCACATTTCTATAAAATACGCGTTAAAGCGCGCACACATCTAGATGTGTGTTACTTCGTGGTGTTGGTGACGATTTTTATTACGAACGAATGAATGAATGACTCGAATTGGAATTTCACCTTTGTACTCATAATGAGTGCTTTTCATGTGCATCTAAAGTTTAAAAAATAAAGATAATTACTTGAAAGCTGAGTTCTTGGGACCCGACTGTGAGATGGTCCGAAATATAAAATGTTCTAGGCTCAAGCATTTCATAGCTCTCTCAGAACATGAACTGTCTCCTAAATGGTGCAATCAGCATTTGTGCGCGTGTAATGGTGAGGAATTTACCGAGCAGCAATTTCTGTTTAATCATTGCATCTCCCTCGAACAGGTCCAGTGATTGCAGGAGTTGTCGGCTTGGATATTCCACGCTTCTGTCTCTTCGGTGACACTGTCACCATAGCCTCTCAGATGCTAACAACTGGCTGTGGTGAGTCCATGATCGCTTGATCAGTGATGCGTAAAGGATGTGTCGTAATTTGCTTGGTACGTGATCTGAAGACTATTGACAAAGGAATGTATATGAAACAAGAAAAACAGAAATGCTGATTGACAGATTCTGATTGACAGATTTACTTCTTCGAAAATTAATGGCTTGTATATTTCTTTTGATCAGCAAAGCTCGAAAACCTTGGCAAGATAGACACTTATGCATACGTTCATACGAAGCTAGCGAAAGAAAACATGAACTATAAACTTGTGTAGAAAAAAATCGAATCCATACAACAGAGCTTTAGAGACACGGGGGAGGACACGTTCTTTCAAATTCTCGAGTTTGGTGTTTGGGACTACGAGATGGCCCGCTGCCAAAGTGCCAATTCATAATATTGCCCTGGTTTTTATCATATATTTAATTGGTTGATGCAGTCGGTCGCATTCACGTCAGTTACGCATCATACATGGCTCTGCTTGAAGAAGGGGGATTTTATCTGATACAAAGGACGGAAAAGGTAGGAGTTCTTCCCTTCCACTCTTTAGCCCATACTTCTTAAGTCCTCAGGGTTCTGCTGTTGCTGTTTTAGTAGCAGTAGTAGTTTGTTTGTTTCGTTTGTTATTTTTTACAAGTTTTGGTCGAATGCTAATTTCACTTTTTCCCTTAGGGATGTGACAAAGATACTTACTGGCTGGTCTCCAGGGATGACTTCAAGACTCATCGCATCACACCGCCATTCCTTGAACAGTATCAAGAACATAAGTACATGTACGAACACGCATTCGTAAAAAGCTACACGGGGCGCATTCAGTACCGTCGTGGCATTCGTGATAGATTGTGGAATCACATTCCCCCTCTGACGTACTTTTAAGGTGGTAAAATACACCTCGTCCATCAAAATCTGGGATTCTCTATAGGCGTGACTTGGCGAAAGATCTGTTGTAGAATTTTTGTGAAGCACCCACCTTAAACATTTCTTTGGGCTCTTCCAAATGTTGACTTGTCTCCGTTTCCATCTGAGGTCCCCCACGGTAAGTTTCTGTTCAATGAAGGTCAATTATTACTAGCTCACCATCAAAATGTCTGATGTCAACCCGAAGATGGACTGCGTATTATTGTCCCTCCTTTTGATTATAATTGGCCTCCAAGGGTGCTCCTAAGCGGGTTGAGGAGTTAAGATTTAGACATCTTACCCCATGTACACGATGTGGGCCTTGCACAGTTTCGGTGTCTGAAAGTCGATTGTCCGGTTGCGTCCGTATTGACTACGGCTTGGAATAACGCACGCAGCTGTGAAAGCCGCCAATTGGCAGCTTAGGTTATACGCCTGGCCTAGGTTGTTAGCGGCTCCGGGGTTGTTGCCATCTGCTTATTTTTCAGTGATGGTCAAGTGCTTCAACTTCCGGTGGGACCAAGCACGCAATCAGGTGAATTGATTCGCTCTGAACGTTAAGTTGTGTAGCTTTTTGAACTCGTTTGGTTTTACATGCATACCCCTCTCACGCCCTTGGCCTGCTATGTGCGCGACTCAAAAGCACAATGTACATGTACAGTATGTATTCGCACTTAAGTTATGCAACACGGTTTTTTTTTTGCTCCGTTTTCATTGTGCACCAGAAACGCTACGTTAGGTAGGTTAGTTGTGTATTTTGAACATGAAAATGTCTTATCAAGTAAAACGTGGAAGTCATTAAATAGAGTAGAATATTATGGAGGTTTCTTGGAGCTCGGAGAAAGTCAAAACTAGTGGTTTTACCTTCGCCCATTAGCCCAAACTTGATGTTGTTACCTAATGGACAACTTTTGAATGGACATGTATAGTTTTCAAACCCTGTGATCCTGCGTTTATTTTTGATCCACCCATCCTAGATAATTTTAATGACAACGCAGTCTTTAGTTAAATTTGCTTGAAGTAGGCTTACACAGTGATTCCTCCACCCTAGACGGTTTTTGTTGTTACATTCGGAACACGAATAAACACTGCTCGAAATTCTGCATGATCTCAAATCGCTGTTTGCTTTTTCCCTTTTAACGTTATATACTTACTTTATACACGCAAAAACAATGTCACCTCTCGTAGCTTAGTGTTCGTTCTTTTCTCGAACAACATTGCTTTACACGGGGAACAAAAGTTCCATAGGTATACCATCTTCTTTGTGTAAATGTGGTTGTGAGGAATGTAAGAACTTTGAGATTGCACTCTGCACTTTATCTGTCGTATTTGTTTTAGGGCTAAATGTTCACAGTAATGAAAAACAACTTGTGGGTATTTTAGCGATATATAATATTAGAGTATTCTATTTGAGATTCTAATGGATATGTTTAATTTTGTTGTACATAAACTATCTTCTTGGTTTCATGTACTTAAATACATGTAGTGAACGGAATCAAAGTAAAGATCTACCAAACGCTGCATTGTCTCTTTGCTCACACTGTAAGCTTTTACCCAAGTCATGGCCGCTGATGCAGCTCTGCAGAGGTATCTGCTGCCACCTAGTTGTCATGGAGATACTTAGGAGAAGAGTGCATTTTTTCCGGCACATCAAATTTATCAACACCAATGGTGCGCCACGAAAGGTTATACACATTAGAAATAACCACACACTGTTGGACTTTGCATTGGCTACAAAAGGAAACAAAAAACCTGCCGTAATTACACGCTATATGACACGCTAATGTTCATATTATGATGTATGAAATGTCATAAATATTCCCAGAACCCCTAACAGGATGATAAGCTATTGCTTAGCTAGCTAAAGTAACGGCTGAAATGACTATAAAATCCTCGCACTTTGTCAAACACTGTGAACCAACCGTTGTTGATTCACAAGCTGTTGTAAGTTATAAGTTGTGATTAAAAAGATCACGAAGACAATATAGTACTTGCTTTCGTGTCCATCTTATTTGTGCCTTCTAAGTTTCTTTTACTTCGCTTTTGACTTTTCCCACACACTGTCCATGGGATTTTGATAATCAGAAGCCAAGAAAGTCAACTAGCCACTTTACTGCTTGGATTGATGGGCGCGATACATTATAGTCGAAAATTGATTCTCCCTCTTGATACCACCATATTAACCATAACTATTCTTCAACAAGAAAGCTTACCCTGCTTCCAGTGACAAGTTACCTCCGCTGTCCAGGACTCTACCCTATTACTTATAACTTGCGCTAATAATGCATACTGTGTGCGTAAAATTAACCAAAAAAATTGAGGTTACCCGTCCGCCCCGGAAGGGGCAAAGAGAGGGCGCAATTTTCCCAGCAATGGCTACTTCTTGGGGGGAACTTCACTTCACTGGTTCACTGGTTTAGGTGAGGTATCGCCCATGGCTAAGGACAGTTCACAGCACATCATGTCAGGGACCGCCACGAAAGCCACAATCTGTTTTGGGTGCGATTTCGTTTTATTTATTTCATTTTCGAGATGTCCTTTACATGAAAAACAATAGCACTAAATACACAAGAAAAAAATGCGGTTTGACATTAAAAACAACTGAACAAGATTTATGTATTTATAGATATAGCTTTGAAACTTAATGATTAAGTTCAGAAATTCGAAAGAAAACGTGGTTTTTGAAGATTTTATCTTTTACAGTTTACAGGCTAATTGCGTGCTTAACTGAACGCCGATCAATAACGGGAAAATTATACTTTTACGTGGTGGAAAGATGGGTGTTTATTGATGACTGCCGGTCCAGTTCATTCATTTAAATTTTGTCAGCAGAGTGCAAGGTTACGGAAGTATATATAGGACATGACTGAAAAAAAATTACGCCTTCTATTTCGCCCGGGCGGATTAGTATTTCGCCCGGTTGAAATACATATCCGCTCGGCCGAAATACTAATCCGCCCTGGCCCGGGCGAAATACTAATCCGTCCTGGCGAAATAGCAGGCCCAAAAAGTTTTTCAGTCATGTCCTGTATTATGCTTCCTCTTCGTCCTCAATGTTGTCTTAGAGTTTCCCAGTCTACTGCCACTCAAAGGACGAAAGACCTAAAATTTCAGCTCTAAGCCACCATAAAAATTGAAAACAGCGGTGCCAGACGTTTTGGAGATTTTTTAGTGATGTTAAATGCGCTGAAACTGATCAGCCGTGAGTTCGTAGCCCCTTCATGAGGAGCAGGGGACAATGAACGTCAAGGATTCGACTTAAATCAAGTTTAGTGTGCTGGAAACTCATGAACTACAGAGGGCGATGTTTAAGCTCAGACATGTCCCGTTATGTGCGCATGCACAAGTCGTCATGTCGTATTGTATGGAGCATGGAGGTAGAATGTATGGAGACACTCACTATAAATTTATGATTTGTAACGTAAGTTTGAAAAATTCCGTTTTGTAATGAACTGTGAAATACTTTTGGATCAACACTGTCCCTTTTTCCCTTAAAAGTCTGTACTGAGTTGTATATTAGGCCTCAATTTGGTTTTCGTAAATGCATGCGTCAGGTGTGCGTTTAAAATTTCTTTTTACATCACGTTTTACGGAAAATAACTGGTTATGGGGATTCAATGTTAGCGCCTATCCGTTAACTGGTTAGGCCTACCGTTTTTGAGTCAGCGTAGATCTTTTCTAGTCCGAGTAACTTGCACCCGCGACTATTGCCCGACCATCTCCAAATGAAAAAAAAAGCGATTGAAAAATAGGGTCCGAGTTACTCGGACTAGATCTTTTCCTGATCCTGCCTCCATGATCAGGTGAACAAACGCTCAGTTACACATGTTACATACATGTGCTGTGATGTCATAGGTCTAATTAAAAGATTTCATTGTCTGATTGTGTAGGCTTCAACTTTGTACAAGGCCAACATTCCACACACGATCACCATCTTTACCAGATTTAGAAAGAGTTCCATATGATATATGGACGCCACTCAACACCCTGTGCACAAACCCTATGAGACTGGTCTGAAAATTTCTACGGTAAAGGTGGGGGTATTCGACTCAATAAAGAAAAGCAAGAAATAAGACCAGCTGTGTAGTTTTTGAATGCAGTTGGTTGAATTTTCCTCCTGGTCAAAAATTCCCGCACTCACCCTAAAAGTAATTGTTTTCTATGTAGGCGTGGCCTAAATGACTTTTTTCCCCTCCTAAATTGAACTTTTCTGGACATGTTTTTGCTTTCTGATGACCAGTAGGTCATTGTAGGGAATAGTTATTGGCATCCGTATATGAAACTTCCCCAGATTTTTATGAAATTATGATTTTTGGGTTTCTCATTTCTTCAGATGCTCTGACATGTCAGCCCACTGGCACCAAAGAAAGGCTTCCAAGTAAGTGTCAGGGCTGTGTGTCACCATCTGCTACGTAAGCCACATCATGGGAGTTCAAGGTTTATGGAGACTGCTTGAGTCAACAGGAAGACCAGTATCATTGGAATCCTTAGAAGGCAAAGTACTTGCTGTCGGTATCCTTAGTGACATATTTAATGAAGTGATGCTGATCATACATGTAAATGATTAATGATAAAAGTGATCCAAAATTAAAGAATGAACTTGATTTGTTGGATGCATTCTTTGCTGTTTTGCCCTGCTGAGGTTGGGCTGGAATAACTCAGTAAAAGGTTTTAGGCGCCATGTTCTTACCTTGAAATCTTTTCTGTGTACCTGCCTTAATGAGTGATTACTTCAGATGTGAGTCTGTGGTTACATCAAGCAATGCGTGGCATGAGAGATGATAAAGGCAATGTTGCAGCCAATGCTCACCTGCATGTCCTCTTCAGCCGAATCTGTAAACTTCTCTTCTATCGCATCAAGCCCGTTTTTGTCTTTGACGGGACTGTTCCGGAACTTAAAAGACAAACAATGGTCAGTGCAGCTTTGTTCTTCTTATCCAAAACTTCTTTGCCTAGATTCCAAATCACTCTGACATCCAGTTTCAGAATAAGCTTAATTTATGATATGCAATAATGTATGAAATTCTAAGAAATTTGAAGATCACTTAGAAAAATAGTAAGAAGAGAAAATTTGAAACCAGTTTTTTCATTTGTCAGATTAATTGATTAAAATCACATCTTTCTTTCCAATCATACTGATGACTATCAGTAGATCTACCAATTCAGAACTGCTTTGTTGGTTTCCATTCTGCTCATTTTCGTTTATGCCAACATACATTGTTCACTGTTGATGTACATTATTCCTGACAATTTCCACTGAACTTTAAGAAACACAAAGAAACAGAAAAAGTTTATTTGAAACCAAGGAGGAGGTCCCATGCATTAACTTTCTGCTCAAAATGTGGAATATGATGCATAAATATAAATATAAAAACCTGATCACTTTGGAGTTTTGTGAATGAGGTATGTATCTCTATTGTATTGTTGTTTGCTTAAACCAATTCATGTTAATGCTAGTGAGCAATCTCATGTTTATTCATAGGTTGCTAGGAGACAGAAACGGGAGATTGCTGCAGGGAGATCAAAGAGGACATCTGAAAAGATCATTAAGAATTACCTACAAAGCTTTGCGCTTCAAGCCGTCATGGGAAAGACAAGGTAGGCAGCTGTTTATGCGTGTTACTTGACAGTTGAGCTTCAAGTTACCCAAAATGCAGCCTATTGAGCCATGCCCTATTTCCATTCAGTGGCGAGTATTGGTAACGAGTTTCATACCCAAAGTACATACATTTGTGTCCTGATGGATGAAGCGTGCACTCAACCTTTCATCTAAACACCATCAGGCATTTCTTTCTGTCCAATAACGGGAGTCTGTTGGAGGTGTGGAGAATTAGACACAGAAAATGCTTGGACATCACAGTATCCCTTTAGTTTATATTTCTCAAAGTCAGTAATATAAGTGGTATAAAAAATGTCTGATATTTAATTGTAATTTTATAATGTGGTTTGGGACTATACACTTGTTGAATACCTTTTTAGTCAACAGAAATGTATAGCTCAGGTTGGCATTGGGGAGGGGCAAAGTTAGAGTTGATGGGGGATCTAAGTATCGTAAGCTTTGAACTCATAAATACTCAATTTACAGTGGGATGGAATTTCAGCACCCACAGTCTTACATGAACTGTGCATGAATTTTGGCATTGTTTTTTAATTGATTTTTATATGTCCAGTGGTTCTCAGAGCAACACAGCCCCGAGACTCAAGGTACCAGCTGAACCAGATATGTTTGAGCTCCCCTCGGTCACTCCAGCTATGTTGCAGGATTCATGGAGGTAAATAGACTGATTTAGTTAATATGCACTGATATATGGGTTCTTGTAGTGATGTGCTTCATCTTTGCTGAATAATATGACTTAATCTGAGAGGGCAATAAAAGTTACCGATGTAACAAGGGACGCCGTCACAAACTGTGCCCGAACTTCATGGAATGACCCATATGGGAAGCTGTGGCCAAAAGCTACGACTGTGGTTGGAAATAATGCACAGGCCTATGGAAGACACTGATTAGTGGCTTTAACCACTTCCCATAGACTTGTACACAGTACAGCCAGCCACAGTCAGTTCTTTGGTTTATTCAGAATATATTGACTGACAGTCATTTCGTTTGTTGCTTCACTGTTTGAGCAAAGTGTCACTGAAGTTGGTTTGCTCCTGGCTGGGGTTACTGCTTGTAAACTGTTATCCATGTTTCTACCAAATGGACGTGCAGTTTAGAGAGCAGAAAGCTGTGGTCTTAGCATTAACATGATAATTGATTCTGTTAAACTGTGGTTTTTATTGCTGCATCATTTTACAGTGAGTCCGATTCCGATGACGAGCCTGATCCGAGAACTGACCATCTCAGTCGTTACCAGAATCTAAATGACATTGATATTGACTCAGAAAACTTCAAGGCCCTACCTCCAGAGATGCAACATGAGCTTATCATGGAAATGAAAGAGAACAAGAAAAAAAACTCCTGGAAGACAATGGACCAACTTCCAAAGGTGAGGAAAATACATGGAAGTCATCATGGATCAGTGAGAATGGCTGAAAGCTTGTGAGCTACGGTATAGGTTTTGTTTAGGAAATTTTCATTGATGTCAAAAAACATAGCTTTTGTCAGGACTGCAATACGTACTGTATTCATCAACATTTAGACGATCATTTCAGTCCACATAAATTTGAAACACTTCTGACATTCATGCCTGTCAACTGCTTTTGTCACAGGAATCTTTCGATTTCTCGAATTACCAAGTGGAAAAACTCCTACAGAAAGGCAAGATGACAAAACGCATTGATGACCTGCGTAAAGAGATGAGTGAACGTAATGCTGGGGCCATCGCGTCCATGTTGGAAGTAGACACTGATAGCTCCCATGCAGTGGAAGCAGGTCGCATCATGTCGCAGGATTTACAACACTACCTACTGGTCAAGCGGCATTCCACAAAGATGGACGAGGATCAAAGTGAAGAACCCGCTGAGGGTGCAGACTTGGAGGTTTCGCTACAACTTTCCACACATGATAGTGAAATTCAACAGGAAGGTCAAAGGTCAGATGATATCAGAAGTCACAGTTCACCTGAGATGCCCTGGGAATCAGATGCCATCATCATTGATGATAATGAGCCAGAGGTAGATTCCAAAGGTGGAGCAGAAATTGCTTACGTCATCGACAGTTTCTCAAAGGAGAGAAACAGTTCAATGCAATCAGATTCGTTGAGCCAACAATTTGTAAAAGCTGGAGAAGAATCAACTAACACTGGTGGTGTCGTTGAAATAGACCTCAAAGGTCAAAGTTCAGACAGTTTTGTTAAAATTCTTCGAGTAGACTCACTGGTCAAAAATGTAACTGGTTTTTTGGAGAACAGAACTGAAGAAGACAAAAAGACAGTCTTAAATAATGATTGTCAAAAAGATTCCACATCCATTTATCTCCAAGAACAGAAACATTTAGAATCTGGCTTGGTTGATGAAGCAGAGGCTTCTAGGATAAAATCCGACAGACAGTCCCAAAATGAAGCAACTAGTGAATTGGAACAGATGCTGTTAATTGAGTTGATGCCTCCCAAGGTAGTTGAGGGAACTGAAGATCTTGGCAAAGAATCCCTGCAGCCAGCAACTCCTAATGCCATTTCAATTGGTGCAGCCAAAGAGAGGCTTGTTGCCATAGCACCAAGTGGGCAGGTGATACAGGAAGTCTCAGATGTGTCAAAAATGAATGAAAGGCAGACTGAGGTTGCGGATGAGAAAATGATGGACACAAAAGATGAATCTTCCAGTGATGGTTAGTAGGTTATTTCTGAATAAATTTCTCTGTATTTTTCTATTTAATTTGATGCATGACACAAAATTAAGTTCATTCCTTATTTCTGACACTTTTTTCTCTTTTTTAGCTTTGCGTAGGTAGTTGAGTATGATATCTGTAATAACTCTTGTCAATGTGAAAAGTGAAATTGTGCCTAATTTGAGGATCCTCCTTTTTTATGTTTCTCCATGTACTTTATCCACTTAGATGACTTTGTGGAAGTAGTTGATCAGTTACGGAACCCAACTCTTGAAGAGGAACTATTTTCTGCCCATGCATCCGTGCCATCTGTTGATGTGAGTGAAAGATCAAATCTAACCTTGTCACCAAGACACTCTCCAGATATCTACACAGGGGAGTTTTCTGAACCCAGGTATTGTTTGCTGCAATTTCATCAGTTTTACTATTTAGTCTACCTTTAAGACTCGAGGCAGAAAGTTTCTGGATTATGCCGAAGCTGTGCCTTTCTGTTGTGGAGCTCTTTGAATTTAGTCTGCATCTGAATGGTTTGTCTAGACTTATACAGTTTTGTAACGAGTCACCAAATTTGGCGACTCAATTCAAGTTGAGTCATTTTAACATTGTGACTTTAGTCGAACCATTCGGTCAAGAAGTCGAGTCAAGTCACCTAGTGTAGACAAGTCGAGTCAAGTACCGAGATCGAGTCAATTTGAGGTCACAAATTTTGAACAAAATACAATAAAAACACAACAACATGTAAGTCATTTTGGGGTATTTTTATTTTCCTTTAGACATACTGAAAATAAATTAGGGTGACAGATATCTAGCCAACTAAAAGTTTCGTTTTAATTTATTTCAAACTCAAGTCTTATAAACTTGTACTCGAGTCGAGTGTCCATGAAAGATTTGAGGCAAGTCATTAGGTCACAGACTCGAGTTGAGTCATTTGGTCACAGAGACTCGAGTTGAGTCATTTGGTCACAGAGACTTGAGTCATTTACCCATTGGGACTCAAATCAAGTTGCCAAAAATTGTGACTTGAGTTGAGTCATTGACTTGAGTCATTACAACTCTGGACTCACATCTGGGTCGTGGGGTACCTGTTGGGCTTGGCCTTCGAGGAATACTTTGGACACACTCTTAACTACAATGCTAGAGTTTGTACCTGGTAGGTAACTTCAAATCTCATGATCTGATGTAGATCCGATGCTGTAGTGTTAGAGACGACCAATGGAAGGAGGACTCATCAAGATGAAGAGATTGAGGGAGACGAGACAGAGGATGTTGATGAAGAGATGCTGGAGGAGGATAATGAGATAGAGAGGCTTCGCGAGGAAGCCAGACAGGAATGGCTAGAGATGAATGTGGTAAATAATCACAAGACTCTCATCTCACATTTAGTAAACATCTTTTGTTGGAGTAGACTCTTGTACCCAATTGGGTAGTATCAAAACTTGAGTTTTGGGGGCTTCAGTCTCGGTTTCTTGAATTTGTTCACTGAGTCAAGACCCTCCAGCTCAATACTTCCATAAAAACATCCAGTTGTTTGATAGGAGGCATAAGTAATAACAGTAAACACTCGAGGCTGATGATGGAGGTTCAGATCAGGCAAAGTTGAGGTTTGGAGAAAGTCCTGAGGAATTTGCCAGATCCATAACTAGCAAACATCAAGAGGATACTGCAGCTAGTAACATCTTGATATTTGCGTGACTTTTTTTTTCTATTCAGGTTTCCTTTGCATGTTTCTTTAGCTCAAATTATATTTCATTGTCAGAAATGTTATACTTCTAACATGGTGTTTGTGTCTGCTTTTGTGAAGGATGATGTGCCACAGCTTCAGGAGAATCTGGAGGCTAAGCGTCAGATGCTTCAGACAGAGAGAGGCAAACAAGACCGAGTAGCTGCATCCATCACTGACTTGATGTATGCAGAGAGCAAGGTATAAACATCTTGAGAGAACCTTAGATGGGGATTTGGGAGAAGAAACAAGACAATATAGTAGCATCTATCACAGACTTCGATGAATGCTTAGGGTGAACTAGAAACTGTCTTGGAGGAGACCTTTGAGTGAAAATAAGGAGGAGTGTTTGACGGAACAGTGACATCCATCTCGAAACTGATGTATGTATGAGAATGTGTTTTGGGGAAGATGCGAGATAGTCTGACAACCAAACAATGAAGAGGTGGATATACCGTCACTGCCAAAGTTGACTTGGGTTTGTTTTGAATGGTTGCAGGAATTACTGGAACTGTTTGGCATCCCGTACGTTGAGAGCCCTCAAGAGGCTGAGGCACAGTGTGCCTTCTTAGATCAGACGGAGCAAACACAGGGCACCATCACCGATGACAGTGATGTCTGGCTGTTCGGAGGATGCACTGTCTACAAGAATTTCTTCTCCAAGGGAAAAGATGTGGAATGCTTCAAGAGCAGTGATGTGGAGAAACAAATGGGTGCGTTGGAACGTTGAATCAAACGGGAATGTATTAAACAGCAGATTGCATTGTCTAAACAGTTTGTTTTCAGTTCCAAAATCACACGCAATATTACCAGTGGCCGAGTGCTATCATAAAGTTATCTCTGGCTTGATTTTCATTCAAAGCAATCTTAACACAAAAAATCTTACTGTTAAACTTTGTAATGTTGTGTAATGTCATATGATACATCATTCAAACCTTAACCATTTGTAACATTTCCTGTTCATTTCTTCTCCCATTTCCACAGTCTTGGATCGTTATAAGTTGATCGTTCTTGCTATGCTCCTTGGCAGTGACTACACCGACGGAATCAAGGGAATTGGTTGGGTGACTGCCATGGAGGTTTTGACTCAGTTCCCTGGCCAAGGAATGGACTTGCTCAAAGCTCTCAAGTGAGACATTATTGGTTAAATTGTTTTATTTCCAATACAGGAAGTTATCAAAAGATATTTAAGGTACCTAGGTATAAGTGTACCAGTTTAAATGTAATGGCTAAGAAATGGCCCGCCTGATTGCCCAAGGGGAAACTTAAATACTTTATATCGGAAACAAGTTGTTCACATCTGTATTCTTCCAAGTCTCGATAATCCTCATGCAGATTGGACACATAGAATATGCAGGCTGTGAAGACAGGTATACAAGTTGTGTAGAATCACACAGCCCTTGTAGAATCTTCTGTCCATGTTTGATCTGTACCCTGTGTGCAAAATGCATGGAACTGAGGGGTGATATACCAGAAAAGTTGATGGCTAGGTCGTCTCTTTGAAATATTGACAGATGCTGGTGGGATGTCGCCCATGAGCAGTTGATGCCTCCTGCAGAGTCCCAGCTTAAAGGCAAGCTGCGAAAGTTGGCCTTACCACAGTCATTCCCCTGTCAGCAGGTATTTGATGCATACTTGTCCCCCATCGTGGATGAATCCATGGAGGAATTCAGTTGGCAGTCTCCAGATCTTGGTCTTCTCAGGGAATATCCTTTTGATAAGAAAAAAGACATTTCAAGTTGGAATGGGGCCTGAGCTGGACCCAGAGAGGGTGCAATTTTCCTAGCGGTGGAGGCTCCTTTGGTAGTAATGCGCATCACTGATTCACAAATGACTGTGAAATGTAAGCGTTGCAGTCACATCGCTACCAATAAAATGAACATTCCCGACCAACATGGCTCTTCACAACTGACGAGTTGGTGGTTCTGCTCAGGGCGGATTGGGCAGGCAACATCGGCAATATCACAGAGTTATCCCCTTTTTTTTAAGTCAAAGATCAACTTCAAAGAACTTTTAAAAAATCTTGAAGATAATGATAATCAGAACATGATGGCATAGATGGGTATCGAACCTGGGCCAAACCAGGAATTTCTCAAGTTTTTACTGCTGGGGGGATTAGCTTATCAATTTCCAAAACTTTTCCCATAGAGTTTTCCTCTGTTTTGCTTAACTTAAGGGTAACTTTTGCTAAGGATAAGCTTGGCTGGACTAGAACCAAGACGGATGAGATTCTTCTCCCAGTAATGAAGAAACTGAACGAGAAAGGGGTGAGTGTCTTAAAACGTGCCACTTGTTTTACTTGTCTAGTAGTTTACCTGAAACTGTTATTCTCCTGAGCATTTATCCAACCTGGCCTCCCAATTCATCTGAACAGACAGGTGTCACTATGCTGCAATTAATCTTTGACACTGTGTCACTGTATGTCACATTGGCCAGGCTACCCTGTAACTGTCAGAAAATTCTAACCTCGGAACAATCCAACTTTTCTGTCCTGCTACCTGTTTGTCTGGTCGTAGTTGATACTTAAAACTTCTTTTCTTCCCAAAATTTCAGACCCAGAGTAAAATCACCGCTTTCTTTCCATCTGAGGGAGGAGAGCCTCGTAAGGTTACCAGCAAGCGTCTGAAACGGGTCTTGAGACATCTCCACAATCCACAAGCAGCTGAACAAAATGAGGAAGAAAAGAAGAAAGGAAGGAGGCAAGGACAGAGTTATAGGAGGAGCAAGAAGGAGGCAACAAAGAGGAAAACTGGACAAAAGAAACACAATCAAGACTTTGGAACTGTCAAGAATGAGGCAGTTTCTATAGAAACGTCTGAGGGTGGAGTTGACAAGGATGACACAATGAATAAAAGTACAGATTCTGATGAGGACCCTGATTCAAGTGAAGAGTACATCACATCAAAGAAAATAAAATTGCAGAGTGATTCTATGGAGTCTTCCTCCCCCAGCCTACGTAGAAGTCACAGAACTAGTGGAAGGAAGGCCAATTATGATGAAGATATACAATCCCCTCTCACAGAATTTCTTGAAATAGAGGAAGCCATGACTCGTAAAACGGAGGGTGTTATTCCAGGAATGGCGACAAATCTATGTAGAAATGGAGCCGGTGATGAAACATTTGCCAGTCATTCGCAGACAGAGAAGCATGAAGAAAATTCAAAGCTTTCTGTAGAGATAAGTGACCCTCTGTCCAGAGTTGCAGAACCAACAGAAATAAGGAATAAACTGTCTCTGTTCAGAAGTGGTCAGGTTAAAAAAGGCAGGGGTCAAGGGGTGAAAGGGCAACGGGGGAAGGGAAAAGGTCATGCTGGGCTGAAAGGAAAAGGAAAGGCCAGTAGTTTGAAGGGTTTGGGTGGTCAAGGACATGGAGGGCCCCGACTTTCAGAGAGTAGTTGCAGTGATTCTGATGAGTAAGGCTTGCCTTCATGGATGCAGTGTGAAACACAAGAGGGCGCTGTTTGATTTACCCAGGGAAAACCAAAGTGACGGATTTTCACAGCTGTCTGCAAATTCTTATGTATCTAATGAGCATAATTGTTATTTATTGAGGAAAATGTATATTCTCTATGGAAATATTGTATTTTAAACCTTTATGCTTGAATTTAAATGAAATTTCTTGACAAGTGCAAAAGTTAGATTTACATGTTTTCCCAGATATATTTATTAAACACATTTGTAAGAACTTGAGTACAGAAAAATGAAGTAATTGCTTGTAAAGTCTGTCATTTATGAAATGAAGGCAGTTTTTCTTGCATATGGTAGTTGGGTTTGATGTAATTAAAAGTAATGCGTTTGTGATAAACTTAAATGAAGTACATTTGGATTTTGCAATTACCAAATACTGATGCCTTGTTTCAAAATTGTGATCTTTTTTCTTAAATGTTAATAAAACCAATGAAAAAGGTAGCGTGACTTTGTTATCAGTAGATCGAAGGTCGTGTGGCCTCGTAGACGAGATGCTTACGCAAATAGCAACACGTGACATTATATACATGTACATGTATTCCCAAGCGACTTTTTTTAAACAATTGTGTCTGATATCTTGTTGATAAAGCACTTGGATTATGTACTTTGAATCCGAAAGCCCCATACATATAGAAAAGTGGGCGTATGGTTCCAGAAACTACAAAGTATCGATAATTTCTGATGCAAACTGCGCAGAGAATGAGGGTTAAAAAGCAACTGGTCAATTAATTTTATAGAGCTCGCTTTCGGCCCGCGTTGCCCCATGCTTCAACCTAGTATAATTAAAATTCAAACGCCATCATATTAAGCCTATGCAAATAAATTCGACAATACAGACATTGATTTAGTATGGTCTAGCCTTAATTACAGTTTGCTTTATTGATGGATAATCTGTGAAGCGAAACCACTTATTTAGGTTGTTTATGCTGACCCGCCTCCCGATTTTAAAATTAGAATTAATTTTGCGGTTTTTGAGCAAGTCCCTGGATGTTATGGAATAGGATAGACTGGTTCCAGAGAATAAACTGTGCTCATTTGATCGTGAGGGGGGTCTGGAACCAGGTCGGTAAAAACGTGCGGATGCGCGCTAGTCCAGTTGGCGATCGCCTGCGCTTGTGGGAAGTTAGTCCGCAAGAATTCTCCGCGGCCGCGAGAGAGAAGGTGCACTTTGAGGGAAGATTTGCGTCGGGAAGAGTAGCGATTTTTCACCATGACGAGCAGCAAGAAAGATGTGATTATTATCGGAGGTGGCATCTCGGGTAGGTGAAGAAGAATTATGTCGAAATGTTGTGTTTTCTCACGGGTTTAGTTTAGGGTACTGACCTGACATGCCTTGGTGTGAGGGATCGGTAGGAGTCGAGGAGGTTTGCTAGGCTTACTTCTATAGTTTTGTAATCATTTAATTTTGTTTGCCATGCATACTGTTTGCATTCAGTCTACTAGCCTCACGTGTTTTAGTGCTCAGTAGAGAAGAGCGCAATTCTGCTTCCTCAAGGAGTTCATAATTTGGTAATTTATTTTAAAATGAGGTGTGTATGATTGAATTCTCAGTCATGTTGCCAAGCCAAGGCACAACCTGCTCATAGCGTAAATCATAGGCTAAGGCTGCATCCGAATCTCTTGTCTAGAGCTAGGTCTAGGTCTTCGGTCCATTTGAAATGCGTGGAGACGGGCAGACAATAGACCTAGCCGTAGCTGTAGAAGCCCGTTGCGGTGGATTGTGGAGGGGCCCACCTTTTTAATGCCATGCCAACCACCACTTAACCTGTTGTTAGTTGTTACCTTTGGAAAAGTTTTCTATCTTGCTGCCGCAATTCTTGAGTTTTATTAGCACCAGTAATTTTTAATAATTACTTAAAGTAAATTTTTGCTGACAGTTTTTAAGTTTTTCACAAACTAAATCATGGACTTGCCTTAACTTAGATAAATGAGGTTGAATTTGTATCATTTGATGGCAAGTGCATGGTAGATGGATACTTCCAGATTTCTGTAAGGTTCATACAAAGCTTGGCTGTAAAAAGATAGCTATGTACCAACTCCCATAAACACATTTTGGCTGTTTTGATTGTGCCAACTTACTCTTCCATGAGCTATTTGTGCAACCAAATTTCATACATGCCTTCTCGGTAAAGTTAGATGTCAGATGGGGAGGTTTAATTTATTCGCCTTATATCCTCATTAAAAATGGTGAAATTCTTGAGCATTTTGCCCATCCATACCACAGAAAATCAACGGCATGTACTCTCAATACATGTTACTGTCAGCTGTGTGATAGCTTGACCAATCGCAACAAAGCTCCTATCTTTTCCTTTTGTTTTCCTGTCACCTAAAGATGAAAGCGACACTGTGATTGGCCCAATTTGTTTCCATTCCAGTGACCAATCATAGCTCAGCTTCTAGTTGGATGGATTAAGTTTGTGCAATCAAGACAGCCAAGATGTGTTTGTGGGAGTTTGTCCATGGCTGTCTATAAGTTTTCTATAATCTGTACAGCTCTGGAAGTAGTAGATTTATTCCTGCCAATTTTCAGGCTCTCTATGTTGCTAGGATACATGTATTCGATCCCCTTAGCTCATAACATCTACTTTTTGGTTTGTTTAGGAATGTCAGCAGCCAAACTGCTACATGATGAAGGTTTAGAGGTCTTGGTTGTTGAGGCACGAGACAGGCTAGGAGGACGAACTTTGACCCAGGTGGTAAGTATCTTGTTCATCTGAGCATAATCTGTATACATCTTTACGTACATGTACAATGGAAGCTTTGATGCATGGCATAGAAACCTACCAAAGCCTAGCTCTCCAAATTGAAGGAAGTCTCTCTTTTTAAACATGTGGCATGGTGGTCAGGTCGAGGAATAGAATGCAAAATAAGTTTTAATCATATTATTGCGCATTGTCAGACTTTAGCAGACATTTCAAGATGGTTTGTGATCAAATTGTTCTGGTGGTACGTTGGATGATTTTGGAAGATGCGGACAGTTCTTATTCCTAAAACAGGAAGAGCAAGAAGTTGAAGCAGCTTCCACATAGACACACTGCCTTCAGGTGACAACAAAGACAGTGCATACTTTCAGATGCATACCGTTATGTTTATAATGGACTTTGTTCAGCAGTATATAGTTTGTATGATGCATTAAAATTTATAGATTCCAAGTGGAAGTGTTTGTCATGCTTGAATGGTAAGAAACTTCCTGATAGGGTACCTGCGCATTTGTAATGTCGAAATTTGCCATTAGGCCCACTAACTTTTCCTTGGACATGTAATCCATCTCCTAATTATAAAATGGCTACAGGTACAGCAGATGGTACCTGGAAAAGTTCAGCATAGCAATAAGTCACAAACCTGCCATATGTGTATTCAGTGCTGTTTTTGTCAGTAGTCACTAGCCAGTGTTTGTTCATTATGCAATGTTGCAGAGTGAGCCCTAGTGCCACTCCACTCAGACAAAAAAATCAAGAAATAACTTGAACAAACAGAAGACCACACATTAGCCATTTACATTCACAGTAGGTGTTCATCACACTGTATGGTCTGTCCGTCTGTCTAGCTGTCTGTCTGGAAAACAGCTGCATGTCTCTGCTGGAAGGTTGATCCATTCTTTACATATTTACATTACCTGATTGCATACCACATACTTCAAAGACATGAAGAGAGCTGGGAAGGAGCATTGTAGATACTTAAGGGTTACTGGGGATGTACATGTATGTTAATGTACTTGCCCTGAATATTTTATCGTATCAGGCATGACACGGCAGACCTAAGTTGTCCTTAGCAGGTGTTATGATGGGTATATTGTAGCAGTATACTTCATTGACCTTATGCCCCAGGCTGCCATAAATTCTGTAGAGATCTATAAATTTTAATTGTTCTTAACCTTCATTTCCAGTAGGGATCTTAAACTGTGGAATAATCATTGGCAGTGAACTGGAAAGGGTTCAGCATTAGGTAATTGATGTTGCATAAAATCACAGGTAGCCTTCCTGAATGATGTACAGTACATGTACATGTCCATGCCACACATGCAGTATGGTACATGTACATGAATGCATGTATACATACATGTACAGTGCAGATGCATGTACATGTACATGTTACATGTATGTTCAGGGTTAGCAGACATTACATGTACTTTACAGTCATAATTTACAATTAAATTGCGTTGGCCACTTAAAATTTATGCCTACAAGATGTCGTAATTAAGACTCGTCTAGATCACCACAAGTGTTGTTTTTTTCTTGTTTTGTGCTTTTTGGTCTTGTTAATTGTTTGGAATTGCAGCAAATCAGAAGAATGAACATTGACAGCTCTAGCAATAATGGATATGTAAAATTTTAAATTTACGTTCACTGTAGATAAAAACTATGAGCAAGTTTTGAGTTCTAGCCCTCAAACCGTTGACCTGAATTCCTCACAGCAGTTTTGCATGGAATCTCAGCCAATTGGGAATCAGTCCTGAATTTCATAACAGACATGCCGTTCAATTACTGGTTCGTGTACCTCGGAATGTTGATGTAACCTCTCTAGCAGGTCAGCCTGTTCACCTTGTTCACTGGCCTACTGTCTACGCCCTAGGCAAAATTGAGCGGGGAAATGGGTCTGGTCAATGGAAATCAATATCAAAAATAACTGCATTGCCATTGTCAAGAGTTGAAAGCAGCTGATGGAAGGGTTAGTGTGTGCTCTGGCCTTTCTTTGTTGATGGCAAATTCAATGTCCATTGTACAGAATGCATTGTAAATACAATTTACAATGCACATGTAGTTGTAAAAATTAAATGGTTTCCTATGTACATTATAATTGAGGCAAATGGACTTGTCATGGATGATTGCTAATTCAGTTTCTGTGCAGGACTTGTGTATGAAGTTGAAATGTTTTGAATTTATTTTATACACATGTAAGTTTGCTATTGATTTGACTATTTTGCAAGTCAAATTTTTCTTTCAATTTTCTTCAGAGCATGTACAAATAATGCAATATCCAGGTCTACCCTTCAGCTTCCTTTTTATGAATGAATAAAATATAAAGCATATTTGTTTTAAAAATATTAAACCCTGAGAGCCGGTGTCATGATTGTATAGGGGAACTGCATACTGTTGATGAGACTGGTTACTTCACAATCTTCTGCTGATTGTCCTTGAACTTGAAAACACTGAAGGCTGCTCATTGGCAATCAGTTATTAATGCTCTTGTTCTAACCATGTCCAACCAAACAACAAGATTCTGTCTAATGAACCATGGAGCTATGAATGAGCTGACTGTAGGGGATTTACGCTTGTAGAAATCTGACTTTCTGAAAATTGTTTTGTTTGCAATACCTGGTAGGTGTTAGATTACATGTACATGTACAAGTAGTCTGCCCTGAGCAGAGGTGAGGTGACTTGAAGCATGGACCCTCTACTCAAACAGTGCCTGTTTTTCCTGGTCACAAGAGCTAGCCACCCCTTGCCACTTTACATATTATGATGACAGCTGGGGATGGGGGGTAGTCACTTCACACCCTCCCCAGGGTATCTGGTTCAGAAGCCTGGTCCACTTGTTCCCCACTGGGCATTTGTACTTTGTAGGGGTTTTATAGGTCAAGCCAATTATCTCTCTGCACTGATCCACCAAGTGATGTTGCAGAAGGAAGATGGCTCACTACTGTGTGGTGTTTGAGCCAGAATGGGGAAAGGGGTGAAAGGAGTACCTCAGATCAGTTATTTGATTAAACCCAAAAAGGTCAGATGCAGTTCGCGTAAAAACATTGAATCTTGTGAGTCTCCAGGTTTAAGCACCACTGGTTACATCTGTGGATTGATATGTTTGATATCTGTAGTTTCTTCAGAATACTGTCTTCTGCTGGTCTCTAAAATATAATATGGTATATAATACATGCACATATTTTCATATTTTCATGAGAACAAATGAATCAATTTAATGTTATCAGCAAATTCATGTACCTCTCTATGAATAATGCCATTGCTACTTTTAGGTGATCTGTGTGCTGCCAAAAAAGGATACATTTTAGTAATGTTTTGTCTAAGTCTCAACATCCCTGAAATCCTTATCTTTCAAGTTGGCACTCATGTCTTCTTCACTCATGATGAAAACTCTGGGAAGATAGCATCCCAAGCAAATCAACCAGGCCTCCTTGTTAGAGTTTATCCCTGCACAAATAGTTGCAGGTTACAAACTTTAGCAGAATAAAAAAAGGTGGATCCTTCCAAGATCAAAGATAGCCTATGGATTAGGGAATTCTTTAGTGCATTCAAACCAAACTTTTATCATTTTTTTTGCTGCCAAAAGGATCCCAGTGTTGGCTATGTGGACTTGGGTGGTTCCTATGTTGGCCCAACCCAGAACCGTCTTCTGAGACTGGCCAAAGAACTTGGAGTGGACAACTACAGGATCAAAGAAGATGAACGACTCATCTGGGTTGACAATGTAAGTAGTAATTATATGAAGAATCTATTAGCCCCAACAGCCCAGAGTCATTCTGCTGGTACTTGAATGCATTGGGCTAAAGTACCCACTGAAATCAAACTTGAGTCTTGACTCAGACAAGTGGTTGAGGAGTCTGGAGCAATAGGCAGAAAGTCCTGGGTTCATATCCCCCCCAGGTGTTAAGGCCCAGAAGCTTATGTTAGATGGTACTCAATCACATTTCTGTTAGCTATCGTTAGAACCAAACAATTTGTGGTTACAAAATGTAAAGACCCTTTCCTTAGTGGGCATGAATCTTTTTCTAGTGTGCATTAACATGTATCCATATGCTGGTGCAGTACATGTACAGTACAGTATGTTTGAATTGAACAGAACCTTTGAACAGAAGCTGCCCCTGAGATAATCCTGTTTACTGTACACCAATCCCATACATCTCCCCCAGCTGTCTACTTTCAACTTGGGACCTGTGGGGTAGCCAGCCAATAATGGCATAAAGCTGTTTATCAGGGAACTATGAAGGAAGGCCATGGCTAGGTCAACATGGTCATAAATTTTAGTTGTGTGAGGAAAGATCCAGGGGCCTGCAATGAACAGACAGGTTGGGAAGATTTAACAGTGCATACTTTCTCAAAAGTACTCTGGCATTGTAAATTACCAACAAGCGCGCAAACTTTACCATAGTTACATGTAACATTTACCCCCTGAGGTGTGGCAAATTTTACGTGAAGTTTGGATAATTTAGGCTGGTTAGATTTGAGTGTGTTAGACAGAATTTTTTTTTAGTTCTTTTTTTTCACTACAAAATAGCAGCATAAGGCTGACAAAATATCAAGGAAAGGACAAAAGAAAAACTGCCAACTGCAAAGAGCAGATGTGTGTATTAATGATTTTAACTAAGAATAATATGACAGTGTTAAAATTAATTGGCTTCTGGATTTAGAAGCTTCAGGTATGGAGAGAGCAAATACTTTATTAAATCGGTGTTACCGGTATATTTGAGTCCATCAAGAGTCCATCACAAATCATTTTTCAAGGTATTCTTTGGCAATAATTTTGTTCACCCTGTTACTCATGACTGGCCTTGTGAAGGGACTAATGACTGGTCTTGTGAATTGACTGGACTTGTTTAGGGACTAG